GGGGGGGGGGGTGTAACATAAATGTATAGTGCAGTATACTTAACATATGAATATGCGTTTACATCGAGGCACTTAACTATAATTCAAATTTTATTTTACTAAAATTAGTAAATTAATTTCTGAGGATTATGTGCAACCGTTAAAACTATATAACTCAGTAATTATTAATGAAAGTATTGAAAATGCCAAGCAAAATCGAATTTATAATCTAGTATAATTTAGGCGAGCACCTAGATTCATTACGAATGTATGTTCTTAAACATCTGATTATTAGATCTAGTGGTACCTTTTTAATTCATGAAATGTAATTAATTAATAAATAAATAAGAAAAATAAATAAAAAAAATTGTTTGTAGATGCCAAGTACCGTTGTCGTTTATTAAACTTTTCTAATTCGTCCACTTGAATGAGACAATTTTTTTAAACATATACTATAAGATTAATATAAAACTAAACTCAGTGGCGCGACAGCTCATAGAGGGCCAAGGCCTACTGTGCATATCTCAGTTTTCCTGACCTTGGGCTCTGAGGTGCAGGAGCAGATGTTCCGGCCAGGTGGTCAGCCGAACGTGGAACCCCCAGTGTTTAGTTCCCAAGAATGCTTGGTACTCATTCATCGACCCCCTGAAGGGATGAATGGCTGAGTCAACACTGCCCGGCCCGAGGATCGAACCAGGGACCTGTGTCTCGACAGCGCAAAGCGCTACCGCTGAGCCACCAATATATATATATGAAAACAAGTTTGAAGAATACCCCATACCCCTTTTTGTAAATCAGAAATGACGAATTCGAGAGATATCAGTTCTGACAGAAAATTAATTGAAAAAAGCGATAATGATTTTTTTTTTATGGCGAAATATATTGCAACCAATTTGTATAGGAAATGTCATTGGAATGTTTTGTTTTTATTTAGTAATAGCATTGATAATACTGCCTTCGGATCTGATTGTTAGGCTCAATGCATAGATAAGTATTATTCTATTTCCTAATATTCGATTTTATAGTATACTTATCTATTTCTTGTCTAAGACTGTAGAAAAAAATTTAGTTTTCTTAGTGCATTGAGAATTTTTGTATGTTAAACAAAAAGTTAGGTGAGTTATAATCACAGTCCTGATTTCGAATTCAAAAGCTGATGTCCGAACTTAACCAAAGGGCAAATGGGACGACTACTATATTTCTTACAAGCTGTGTCTGTGTGAATCTCATTTGAAAACAGAACTAGAATAAAATTGCCTTTTATTCATAATAATATTTGAGTATACTATAGCCTACGTCACAGCCTGAAGGCATTTCTGCGAGCCTCACTTCTAGCAACAAATAAACATTAAACGAAGTGTGTTGTTAACAGTCGCGACTCGTCAGGCTGACTGTTGTTATAAGTCGTGACTCGACTAATCAGAATTGTTTTAGTCAAGTTCTTGTTTAAATAATTGATTTTATTGTTTTCTCCAAGTTTATGCATTTCGTAAACATATTTAAAACCCAGTTTATTAACTGAACTAAAAGGTAAGTGGTAATCCTAGTAAAATTTTCGAAATGTAAGTAGTTTTCTTCTTTCTTTTTTCATAGTATACCCAATTTTGTTTCGAAAGACATAATTGTTACTTAGAAGCTTGATTTACATCATACATTTTATTTAACAGAAATAGATAGATTGTGTAAAGCAGAATGTTTATTTTTGCTTCAAAATAAAGTTTTCATTGTGCGTCTCATCGAAAATAACCACAATGGCGGTTCATCTGCAATGTCTTACTGTGCTAAAAAAATTCTTAAAGTTAAGAAAGAGTTATACTTTTGAATGTCCACTCAGCAGAACACAAATTTATTCTAAAATTTTCTCTGAGCAAGAACAATCGGATGACTTGCATCTTAACACTGAACCTGAATTTTACTTAAAAACAGGGAGATTACTTTAAAACAGTACTATGTGAGCTAAGCAAATAATTGACTGAAACTTCCACTTCAACGTTTTATGTGTTGACAAACATCTCGGTTTAATCGCGTGGAAAATAAGGTTTTATAAAACGATAAATATCTGTTTGAATGTGGTTCGCGAAGTGGCGCATGGAAGAAGCATTTCTCCTTTAATTACGGGACGCGGAGGTTAATTTGACATTTTTGCGTCGCAAAATCTTGATTTCAGATGGAATCTTCGTTTCTCATAATAAGTTTGAAAGTTCACCTTCTGAAAAAGAAATTGTATTACATCCGAAAAAATTGTCCAAAATATTTTGAATAGTATCTTTAAGAAAAAAGTGTTATGTGATGTTATCCTCCAAGAGGGAACTAATCAGTTTTCAGCACATAAGTGCGTGCTCGGTGATGTTTCGAATGCGTTTGCCGCAATGTTTAAAAACAACATGAAAGAAAAGGAAGACTGAGCTGATAACATAACTGGAAAACCTTCAACCTCCCGTTGGCAGCTGCTGTTATGTTTCAAATATACAAGAATTCATAAACCATTTCACCTAAGTTATTCAGTTGTTATTTTTTTTTTATGTTTGAAAATTTTCCTACCTACATTTTTGATTCATAGCATTATCAATGTTCAAAAAATTATTTCATTTTAATGTGCAATGCCGCCAAATCTACTATGTAACGTTTAGTAAAATTAAGCCTTTTTTATTAGTATTTATTCTTTTCTTTTTGTGATAGCCTGGTATGTAAAGAGAAAAATAATTTCTTTTGTCGATCATAATTAGATTCAACTAATTAAGTAGCATGTATGCTTTATAGTGGAGAAGTTAGTTAAGTACTGTTTCATAGTGTATCATTTTTATTTCTTCCGGAGAAAGAAATTATTTTAGAATAATAAGTATTGGAAAAAATCCAAAACAAATTAAGATGTTTTCTCTTTTAAATTTTTTTTTTTTAAATATTTACGTTTTCTGAATTGTTTTTAGAAAGAAATAAAATTCTAGTAGGCTTTACCAATCTTAAAATTTAATTAAACTAAAATGTTCTCTCTTTAGAAAAAATATATATATATATTTTTAAAAATTATTTTCGTTTTCTAAATTGTTTTTAAAAAGAAATAAAATTCTAGTAGGCTTTACTCGTCACCTCTTAAAATGTAATTAAATTAAAATGTTCTCTCTTTTAAAAAAAAATATATATTTTTAAANATGTTTGAAAATTTTCCTACCTACATTTTTGATTCATAGCATTATCAATGTTCAAAAAATTATTTCATTTTAATGTGCAATGCCGCCAAATCTACTATGTAACGTTTAGTAAAATTAAGCCTTTTTTATTAGTATTTATTCTTTTCTTTTTGTGATAGCCTGGTATGTAAAGAGAAAAATAATTTCTTTTGTCGATCATAATTAGATTCAACTAATTAAGTAGCATGTATGCTTTATAGTGGAGAAGTTAGTTAAGTACTGTTTCATAGTGTATCATTTTTATTTCTTCCGGAGAAAAAAATTATTTTAGAATAATAAGTATTGGAAAAAATCCAAAACTAAGATGTTTTCTCTTTTAAAAAATTTTTTTTTAATTATTTACGTTTTCTGAATTGTTTTTAGAAAGAAATAAAATTCTAGTGGGCTTTACTCGTCAACTCTTAAAATGTAATTAAATTAAAATGTTCTCTCTTTAAAAAAAATATTTTTTTAAAATTATTTTCGTTTTCTAAATTGTTTTTAAAAAGAAATAAAATTCTAGTAGACTTTACTCGTCAACTCTTAAAATGTAATTAAATTGAAATGTTCTCTCTTTAAAAATATATATATATATTTTTAAAAATTATTTTCATTTTCTAAATTGTTTTTAAAAAGAAATAAAATTCTAGTAGGCTTCACTCGTCAACTCTCGTAATTGCTTACCATTCCAGATTTTTTCTCCTTAAAAGTTAATATTTTTTTCAAAACAAAAAATTGCTTTCATGTTTCTAATAGTTTTTGTGCAACAAAGCAAAATATAACGCACGTTTAAATATCCAAATCGGTGGTGTTTTTTTTTTTTTTTTTTTTTTTTTTTTTTTTTNTTTTTTTTTTTATTAACTACTGAGAGATTGTATTTTAATTATGTATAATCTATGACATTCGCTTTCAAAAATTAGTTTCCGTAAACTTTATTTATTTAAATACAATTTAAATGAAAATAAACTGAATAAAAATATATAATTGTCTTTATCTTCCTGAAATATGCATTTAAAAATGTTTTACTAAAATAAAATTATTTAGACAAATATATATATCAGCACTATGTATAGTAAAAATTGCTTATATTAGGTTATAATAAAGCGAGAGTTATGAAAAATAAATCAATTTTAACAGAGCAATGAGATTTTGAAAAGAGGTTGATTTTTGTTCTTTTTTTGACCCAATCCCATATTTTCCACCAAAAAAAAAAAGTCATATTTTTGGTATTCATATACCATGTTCATGCATTCATATTTTATATACATGCACCATGTTGTGTATACACTCATAAATCCAAATAAATTTCGCCTTTAAAGATATTTGGGTACCTGAATTTTTCTTATTTGATTTTACTTATCATAAAATTATATAAATTAACTCGTGTGGGGGAAAAAATTTCTACTTGTGCGCAAGAAGCAACAATGTTATTAGCATGCCAGTAGAATATTAAGAATGACTATAAATTAAAAAAAGACTTAACTACTATTATTTACGTTATTATTTATTTTATATTTATTAATATTCATTAAATTCTCATTTTATTAAAAGACTATTATTAAGACTAAAGATTTGAAGAAGAAAAAAGATTAGTATATTACGAAATTAAAAAAAAAAATGTTGTCTCCTCCCTTTAAAATTATATAATGTGTTTTACTTTAATTTATCAGCTTATTTAGCTCACAACTGTCTTAAGTAAAATTTGCTAATAAAGAATGCAACCTTCCTGCCTTCGAAGGAAACAATCATTAATCTAAACCATTTAATCGTAAAAACCTGAGTTTATTCTATTCTCAAAATATAACCATCACTATTTTAATACATTTATTTTCTCTTTTTTAATGATATCTCGCTTTGGGCTTCTTATTCCTGAATTCTAGGACTTCGTCCATAAGTGCATTCGTTACGAAACACGTGTTTATATAACAAATAACCTTTGCTCTTTTAACACGACTAGGGCAAGAATATGACGTTTTCCTCAAAGAGCATCAGGAGAAGCCCGGGAGCACTTCTTTTCCCGTTTTAACTCCGGACGCGCATGCGGAGATAATCCTGTTTCTTCCCAGACGTAGGAAGAGAAGATAAATATCGTTCTTCTTCGTCGGCTTGCTCTTAGTCTATGTTGGATAGTAAGCACTTTTATTATAAGATTTATGGGTTTAATTTATCGATTTGGTTAAGGGATCTTATGAGATTATTTGCATGATAGAATTTGATTGGTTATAATTCTTTACATCAATTCATTCATCAGTGGCATATCCATGCACTTAATTTGTGTTATAAAATTACGAAGCTAAAGTGTTAGTATAGAATATTACAGACCAGAGGAACTGGAACTGTTTGGTTATTGGTAACCCTTAATAGATAAATAGAACTTGTTCAGTTTTAATTGATTATATCCACTTTTTCATCAGTGATAAATCCTTACACTTTATTTGTGTCATAAAGTCTTGAAGAAGTGCTTGTATACTGACTTCATTTTTTTATAATGTATAAAAATCCCATTGGGGAAATGGATTATTGCTTCGACAAAAATGAAGTGTTTGTGTTCATTTGGAAAATTGAAAACTTCAGCTGTCTTTCTCAAAAACGGGGTGAAAATGTTGCAAGTCCTTATTTTCACGTGAGAACTCTTGGTCGTTGTAAATTCCGCCTGCTCCTCTTCCCCAGAGGATTGCCAGATGAGGAAAATAAAGTTCACTGCGAATTCACCAGGGCACACAGTGATGAAGGCCCTGAAGTAGTCGACTTTCTTTTGAATCTATCAGCAGAGGAGATGAAGACTTCGCGCAAAACAGGTGTTTTTATAAATCGATGCATCAGGGGAAGTAAACTCTCGTCAGGACTATCTATAGATCGGCAAATAATGTATGAAAATGCTCGTCACTATTTGCCGAACGATACACTAACTTTTCGGTGTGAAATAAGTACCAAGTCCATCAATCCCGTATCTTTTGTGAACTGTTACGCTAGAACTTTAGTACGAGCAGAAAGACATATTTTTTCGATTCCTCTTACTTGTAACAAATTACTGGGCATTGCCGAGACGCCTGGTCCAAAACAAGAGCACACCATCGAATTGCCATTTCTGTGCAACTTCAATGGATTTGGTGAATTCGAAGTCCTTCTGCGTTTTAATAACACCCTCCTGTTTGAAAAAAATGCAGATATGGAAGTGCGCAGAGTTAATTCAGGAAGCAATCCTGTCAATCTAATTTGTAAAATATCCGTTCCAGATGTCATTGGGGAATCGATAGTGATTCGCCAAGAGCACAAATTTAAGAAAGATGATACCAAATGGATTGTGACCTACCCTTTAACTACATTTAAAGCAAAATTAAATCGTCCCGATTCCATAATTGAGTTACGCTGTGAGTTTTGCGCGTCAGATGGCTCTACAACATCCTTTCTTGATCGAGTGATTTATCCGCAGATCAATGTGAATAACTCTCCCGATTTTTTACCGGATTACGAATCTGATGAGTCTAAACTATTACGAAGCATGTTTGAAGACAAAACATTTTGTGATGTTACATTAATGGCTGAAGGCAAAACTATTCCAGCACATAAATGTGTTCTAAGCGTTCGATCTCCTGTCTTCAGAGCCATGTTCGAGAGCGACATGAAAGAAACGCAAACGAGTTCTGTGGACATATGTGATCTGAGTGCTGCTACTTTAAATCACATGTTGACGTTCGTGTACACAAATAATGTGGATTTGGCCTCGATTGATGTGTCAGAACTTTACGCAGCCGCTGATAAATATCAGATTCTCGATTTGAGACAGTATTGTTCTAACTTTTTCATAGAAACCTTAACCGTTAAAAATGTTTGCGATGTTTTGGAATTGGCAGACTTGCATCAACACCGCGACCTAGATCGCGCCTTGCGCAATTTTATTTATAAAAATGCTAAAGATGTCTTGATTTCTTCCGCATGGAAAAGTTTTATGAAAAAACATGTCAAGCTAGCAGGTGAAATAACACATCAAATGTGCATTAAATTTGCATATCAAATGTGATCTCCTTTATTTTAAAATGTGAGTATATATCTAATTTTTTTTTAAAAAATAGAATTTGTTTTTTCTAACGATTCTTCTGCCACATTAAAATTATTATAATATAATCTATGTAATTATTATAATATAATCTATATAATTATCATAATATAATTATAATATATAATAATCTTATTAAATCAACCGTTTTTCTGAAGATGTTTAAATTTTTCACTCATTTTTCCCCTCGTTGGTGTCTGATTTAAATTTAAATTCTACTGCTTTCATAAGTAAACGACTTTCATTTTAAAATAGAATTAAATTTAATTTTTAATTCGTTGTTCAACATTAATAAATAAAAAAAATTTTACTAAGCCACCATATTAAAAATTAATAAACTATATTAGAATACCGCAAAATAGAAACAACTAAATTGTAATTGCCTTCTAAAATTTTCTGAATGGCTGTCTGCAAATACTGAGACTTTTCCAGATTGATTTTTATCGAATTGATTATTTCTAATTTTCGTAAGCATATTGATAGTATAAACTAATTTTTCAGCTAAGCCTTATTCTTCAAATTAGAATATTAAATATTTTAGTTATAAGTTTAGTTTAGTTAATAAATATTAGATAATATTAAATTAAATAATATTATTAGATAATATATAAATCATAAAAAAATTTATTACAATAACACTATTAGTGTTGAAAATGAACAATAGTCATTTTTAAATAAAAGCATTACAACTCCAATATTTTGGCAACCTAGCTCTAGTTAAAATATTATTCTTCGATTTTCAAAATTATTTTCCTTTTCATTTTTTGAATAAAAATTTTTATAGGTTTATGTGGAATAAAATAATCTAAAATATAATGTTTTTTTTTATTTTTTNACCTAGCTCTAGTTAAAATATTATTCTTCGATTTTCAAAATTATTTTCCTTTTCATTTTTTGAATAAAAATTTTTATAGGTTTATGTGGAATAAAATATAATGTTTTTTCTTTCTTTTTTTTAAAAATCTAGATTAGAACTAAACAATTCTCTTTTTTTATGTAATTTTAAATCCTTTCTTTTTAGAACACAATACCAAGCACAAGATTCCCACAGGGACGGGAAAACCTGAAATTTTCAAGAAAGGGGGGAATCCGAGAAATAAGCGATTTTAGACAAAAACCAAGGAAAATCTTGAAATAATTTTACATAATATCAAATTTCAGATTCAATAAATAGGCAATGAGGTTAAAGTAAATAAAATCATTATTCATGTAAATTTTCGTTTAAAAATTCGATTGTAACGTATTATTATATAAAAATATTAATTGGTTAAAAAAAAACCTTTTGTTACATAAATTATAGAAAAAACAACTTATTATTAATTAAAATAAACTGGAATCTAACCTTTTTAACTTTTAAAATAAACTGGGATCTAACCTTTGTAACTTTTAAAATAAACCAACTTTCATGGTTAGATATTTTTAAATTATTTTTTAGCATATATAATTTATTCATAAGTTATGTGGTGAATTTGAATCGGTATAAATTCCACTCTGCTGTTCAGAGGGTTGACTTTAAATACGCTAATTAGTTATTTTAAGAAATTAGACACAAAGTACCATCTCTGATAAACATGCTTTTTTTCCCACACAGTCAGGGTTATGATTTTACCCAACCCTAATAAAAACCACCCGGGTTTTTTCGAAAACACCCTTGAAAATTCCAACTGGGTTTTTCATAATTGTATTTTATAACAAATCAGCTCTAGATATTAAGTTTATAATATACAAACTCCATACATTAAAATATTTATATTACCATTATTTTGATATTCTATTATACTAAAAAAAATTTATTCACCTTTTAAAGAACACATATAATTTTACACCTGTTACTATCGTTACCTGTTATTATGTTTACCTGTTTCACACTCTTCTACTTCTTAGCAGCTTTTAACTGCTGAAATACTTGTTCTAGAATTCTTGTTCGGGTGTATTCCTTGTTGTTCAAATACTAAAGCTTATACTAGAAGCTCAATTTCACTGTACATAACATAGTACACAATAACGCAGTTGGAAAAGTAATACAATACACCATTGTATAAACATAATTTTTAAGTTAAAAATTTACCTTGAAAATTGATGTCTTTCATTTGAATTAAGATAATTTATTTCTTCACTTAAACTAGTAGTTTTTCATATTTCTAAAATAGAATAGGTTTATCCTATAAAGGTAGTTGTACCCTATGTTATTTATTAATGTAGAAAAATTTACTTAAGTATCATAGATAAAAATTTTTTTTAGAAGAATGATGGAGAAACTCAATTTACTTTGAAAAAAAGCACGCCGTTTTTTTTTTTTTAATAATTATATAACCCTCACGACAGTCTTAATTTAGAAAGGAGATCAGTGGAAAGTTTGTACTCCATCTTAATTTCACTTTAGCACACTATTATTATAAAACTCGTACTTGTTTATTAAAGGATACAAAAATAAGTTTTGTTTATAGAATTTTAATAACGGTCGAAAAAGTTTTGACTTGGAGAAAATGCAAATTTTTGCATTTTAAACTGCGTAATATTCAATAGAAAAAGACAAAAATTAGAACAAAATTAGTCGAATAGTTCATTAGACTACTAATTTAAAATTTCATAACTCTGAAACTATTCGACACTCTATTTGTTATAGATAGTAAATTTTCTAAGGTATGGCGATATTATCATTAAGGGGCCTAAACATTCGTTAAGTCCGATTTCCTAAAGATTGGGACCATATATCCAATATTTTATTTTCGAAAGATTTGTCTTCTTTACGTTAACACAATCCCTCGATCCTATATTACTCAAATAATCTTAACTTCTTTTTTTCGTCAGGTTTAGTTTATATTTTTATAACCATCGTTGAACAGACGACTCAATTTCCGGGTATACTACTACTCATGTTTAGCTCCTTAGCCTTGTAATTTTGAACCCAATTCAGAAGACAAGGGAACTCCTGGATCAAGTATTGAAAGAAATTTGTCTTCGTTGTGGACTTTTTGATGGAACTAACCCACATTTACGTTTCATAGAGAGGAAAACCTCTCACAGTTAGCCTGACGGCAAGGGGACTCTAATCCATGATCCGTCTACCACTGAGGATATTTCACGTCAGCACTGCGGTCGGTGCGAGCTGGGTGCGGAATTCGTATCGACCAGCCATTGCTGGGATTCGAATCAGGTTCATCCAATTGGAAGGCAAACGCTCTATCCCCTGAGCCACCACAGCTGCTCATAAAGCTATTTTTTTATAAACGTCGTTGAACAGCCGACCCAATTCGCGGTTTACGACTTCCAATGTTTAACTCCGTAGCCTTGTAATTTTGAATCCAATCCAGAAGACAAGGGAACTCCTGGATCAAGTATTGGGAGAAATTTGCCTTCGTGGACTTTTTGATGGAACTATCCCGCATTTGCGTTTCACGGAGAGGAAAACCACGAAAACCTCCCACGGTTAACCTGACGGCAAGAGGATCATAAGACTATTGATAGGAACTTTGAAATGTGAGTCCGGGATAGCCTGGTTGGTAGGGCGTTGGAACTATGTGCAAGAGTTCGTGAGTTTGATCCCTGCGGGCTGAAGACTTCCCTGTGTAGTAAATGGTATTTAATAATTTTATTCCGCCTAGAGTGGCATCGAAAGACAGCACTCTGATAGTTTTGCTAAGTAAACATCCTCTCATCCTTTGCTTTTTTAACCCCACATTGTGTATTGGAAGTAATTTAAGCGATTTCCATGACTTGCAGTTGTGACCTTACTTATTTTGGTACATCTGTAGAATGACTTTTATTTAAAATTAATAAGGAAAATTGTCTAATGCATGTCAAATTTATTTACAGGTTTGCTGTAGCTGCATATAAAAGGAGAGAAAATACTGATAGTTCAAGATTGGTAATCCTTTTTTTTTCCCCTCTGAATTTGTTTCACGGAGAAGTAATAAAATTTAATTGAACTGTTTTATCTTACACTCAAATTATTTCTTACACTTGCAAACACAATAAGTCGATTTTTTATTCATAAATTTTTTTTTTCTGTACTGATTGAGCTAAAAATGAAGGTACAGGACGTCCAACGAAAGATAAGCTTGATTTCGAAATTAAAAATCTCAGAAGCAAAAAATGAAACTATTTATTACGAAATCCTTAGAAACTTATAACGATATAAAGACGGAATTTAGCAATAAAAGTTATTAACATACAGTACGGTATATTAAAATTCTTGAAGAGAATACTAATGCTCCTTTAAAAGAATTCATAATTGTTCATGAAATCGCAAGAAAATCTGATCAAATTGTTTCAAAGCTAAAACTGATCGCTCTGATTATCATAAGACTATTTAATTTTATAAACGCCTTTAAACAGCAGACTCAATTTTGGGTCTACCAATGTTCAACTCCGTATCCTTGTAATTTTGAACCCAATCCAGAAGACAAGGAAACTTCTGAATCAAGTAATGGGAGAAATTCGCCTATGTGAAGGACTTTTTGATGGAACTAACCCACATTTCTGTCATGAAGTGTGAGGCCGGGACAGCCTGGCTGGTAGGGCGTTGGACCCATGTCCAAGTGGTCGTGAGGTCGATCCCCGCCGGCTGAAGACTTTCCCGAGTAGTAAATGGTTACTGGTGCGCGTTAAATATGTTGGATCACAAAGACCTCCATGTTCCCATAACAAATCAATACCTCTCTGGTTCAAGTCAAAATTACGTATGAATCAAGTCAAGTGTATGAATAGGTCCGCCCTATAAACGGCCTGTGACGTGTGTGGCTAAAGTCTTATTATTGGCCATAGATGGAGCCAATGAAAAACCAGAAACACACCCTCTGCCTTAAATTCGCTTGGTTTCACCAAACAGGTCAGTGGTGATATTGGCAAGTGTCATCAGAAACAAAATTTTTGGAAAGTGATTAGTGCTTGCAGCGCCATCTTTTGGAATTTCAGTAGCTTATGGATACCCTGCAATTAGTGTCACATCTAAATAATTTCATCTCATTCATGCCCCCCTCCCCTCTTTTTTTTGCATATGAAACATGCTTAATCCACTTCTTTTTCATAGAAAAATTAAAAAAAGAAATAATTCTACAACCCTGACTAAGTATATTACAGAAGTAACTTTTCTGGCGATATCTTCGTATTCAGAAATCTAAATAATAAAGGGAGTTTTAAAACACTTAATTCCTACAATATAAATTTACAACCACTTTTATAAATTTATAGCAACTGTGACAACCTTGTAGTCTCAAGTCTTGTTGACTCGAGAAAAAAAAAATAATTAATAATAAATTGTACCAAGAAAATTTTGCTAATGGACGATATCACATTACGAATTTATTTAGAACCATTAATTTCTTTTAAAAAAAAGTTTGAAAAACTGTATCAAATGCTATGTCCATGTTCGTAAACATGCTTTTCAAACATATCCAGATTTAAAAACTCAAAAGACAGTATAACTTTAAAAAATTTTGATTTTATCATGAAAGCAAATTATCTTTAGGTAAAATTTAATAATCGAAGACGTTGAAGTATAGTCGAAAGCCATACTTTTGACAAATGTAACATTTTCGCTTCTAACTTATTTTTGATATATTAACAGCACTTTGCAATAACCTTTAATTTTTACTGTATAAGAAGGAAACATGTTATTTGATTTCATGGAAATTATGTTTTTCTCCTAGAATGCTCTATCGAGCTGATTAAAAATGTAAAAAAAAATGCATTTTTAGAAATCTTCAGTAAAAAAAAAATATTTATATATATTTTATTTGGCATTCAATAAATGACCAGTGATATTTAATAAAAATTAAGAAAATAGATATGCCTTCAATTTTTACTATATAAGAAGGAAACATGTTATTTGATTAAATGGAAATTTTGTTTTTCTCCCAGAATGCTCTATCGAGCTGTTTAAAAATGTCAAAAAAATTGCATTTTCAGAAATCTTCAGTAAAAAAAATATATATATATATTTTATTTGGCATTCAATAAATGACCAGTGATATTAAAAAAAATTAAGAAAATAGAAATGTTTGGTTTACTGCGTTCTGCTTAAGATTAATTCTTCCTGCCAAGTTTAAAATTTTGTAACCAAATCCGTCACAAGATGACGCTATTAACTAAAAGAATTTTAAAATTAATGTTTCGAATGCAGCAACTCGTGATGCAGTCCGGGAACAAATTTAACAAAGTCTATGAAAATATTTCAGTTTGAATGGTGAGAGATACATTTAAAAAAAAAAACAATATTTCATAGCTATCCAGTCTACAGTGCCATCTGGATATAAACTTAGAAATCCTTTCTGAAATTTGATGACATTTTTCTGGTTTTCAAGCAAAATGCAGCAAACCATTTATTCTCCATCGCCTTCTATTTCTTTTAATATTGAAAAAAATAACGAGATATGAAAAACTACACATCTATTACCATATAAATAGAATTATTTGGTTTGAATAGTGATATTCTCAAATAAGGAAAAGAACAAAAGACAAATGCTTTTTAAGAATGTCAAACTTTTACTGCAGTTAAAGAGGACTAATTTACAACAAATACCACTCCTTAAAAGTTTCTTAACATTCTATAAAGTTAAAACTTCAATAAAGTTGCAATGTTTTTTGTTTTTAAAATTCTGGTGCTTCACACTAGATGACTTCAATTGGGTTTTTAAAGACTAGTACAGGAGAAAAAGTATTCTGAATATGAAAGTACAAACTAAACATCTTGACAAATATGTTTCAAAATCTTGTATAGTTAAAATATTTACATTATAGAATATTTTATATAAATTATACTTGCCATGTTAAAAAAAAGGGAGAAATTAAAATTATTACTATTTTGATTTTTACTCATTTTAACGATAAAGAGAATTTTGAAGATTCATAAACTTTTAATACATTGAAAAGCTTTGAGAACTTAAAAAAAAAAAAAAATTCCCAATAGCAGTAAATTCCAATGATTATTCTATTAATAATAAAATTATAAATTCCAATTAAATGGGGGGGGGGAATAATTTTGTAAGAAAAAAATAATTTTCTAAATTAAAATGTGAAATGAGACTTTAACTAGGTATAACACAGTTTTATGAACATACTACAATAAGGGTGCACAAATTATAGCCTGGAGGTCAGATGAATGGTTAATTTGCAGCCCCATCATCTAGCCAAAAGAAGAAATTATAAAACTTGAATTTTTTTTTATTTAGAATTTTTTGTCGATTCAATTTAATTTTTTAAAAGGGCATAAATATTTTGTCTTTAAGGCCATATCACTGTCTTTTGAATGTTTTAATAAAAGACATAACTTAAAATATAGTAGTTCAAAGATTTATTTAAAAATATAAGTAATTTATGAACTACAAAAAATAAAATTATTTTTGCATATTGCTATTAAAGGCAAATATTTTACGATAAATATATTCAAGTAACACAGTGGGCCAAATTGCTAATTTTATTTTTACTTCAAAAATATTATATACATACCTTTAAATAAACATAATTTGTTGTATTCTGTGTTTTAATTTTTCAGATCAATCCATATTGTTCTTATTACACAGAAGTTAATAAAGTCTTATTTGACAGAAGTTATTAATTAAGTTCTTAATTGAAATACATAAAAACTGATCTCGGACTATGAAAGCTCAGTTATTTTATTCCTATCATCTTCCTGCAAAGAAGGTTGTGCCCCCATATACTTAAACTTGTTTATTAAAGCGGGTATGAGAAATCATGGCAAGTATAAATAATGACTAACCATCATATTATAAAGCCATTTCAAAAATACAGTATAAGTAGTAAATAATATGAAATTAGTGATGTTTAACTCTCAAAACTAAAAATTATTCTCTCCACAAAAAAACAACTAATGACAGTAATAAATATAATTACAGAAATAAATTTTTACTTTTCAACAAAATATCAATTAAATCTCTGAGATTCAAAACTCAAAACATAAAAAAATAATATACAGATAATTCTCTTTTTGCACAAGCTCAAACTAAAAAGTATGGCAAATATATTTCACTTTATAACTTAGAAGAAATTTTGATGCAACATTATTACCATTCAGTTGTTCTTAACATGATAATTAAAGATAAAACCAGCCAGTTGTAGCATAAAGTAATTAGCTGAATAATTTAATTTAACCAATATAAACAAATGTTAATGTATTACCCATTTGAATATGATCCTTATAATAAAAACTATTAAAAAAAAATGCATTTTACATTCTATCTATCTAAATAAAATATAATAAATTTTGTAACATCATGTTATACTACCGCTACAATAACTTATCAACTATTTCCAATTTTAGTATTAAAAAAACAGAAATAAAATATTTAAATTACCTAATATATTCTTTTCTGTAGATTTTTTTAATATAGTGGATACTTGTCAAAAAAGTATAGAAGTTAGAAGTAGCAAATGAATATTTAAGCAAAGGAAAAATCAACCTGTTTTTCTACCAGAAGAAACTAAGATTAGTAATTATGCAATAATTAAAAGCACATTCGAGTATCAAAGGTCAATCAAACTGGTTTCAGTGCTTTTCATCACTCATTTTTCACTTGTGATTTGACAGATTTCAATAGCATTTTTGTTCTCTAATAGCTTAAATATATATCTGCACCTTTTTAAAAGGATACTTTTTTGACTTTATTTTTTATGAGAATTCCAAAGGAAATTATGGGTTGTAAGTTTTCAATTCAAGAACAACTGATAAAACAAATAACAAAATATATATATTACCCCTCCAGTGTTGAGGAGCATCGCTTATTGTTTCTACAATCTATTTGAACATGTTCATTCATGGAGAAATTTTGCTCCATTTTTAATATTGTGAGGGTTAAAATTTCAGTGGGTAGTACATTTCAAAAAGTATATTTTTAAATAACATATAAAGCTCTTCTAAATAATGAGATATAATTTTGCACATATTTTTTAAGAAATAAAATTTATATACCTTTAAATATTGATCATTGCATGTAAAGTATAATATACTGGTTACTAAGTAGGTACAAAAATAAAATAGAATTACTTAAATATTTATACAAAATAAACTTAAGTATATAATTCCAACTTATCACAAAAGCTCTTGTATATTTCAAACAATCAGATCACAAGAAAACACAGGGCACAGAGAATGGCTCAAATCAAGTACCTCTTCAGACTAATATTTTTAAATTGCCTCCACATAAAGTAATATTAACTACTGTGTGAAAAATATTGCTTGTCACTACCTAATGAAGAATTTTAAATATACAGTTATGAGATTAAATAATTATTTAAGACAATAACCTTTCCAAAGATTTAAAAAAATAAACTATTGCAATTCCTATGAATAAAATACTTATGAATGACATAAAAAGTTAATCTTAGGGAGTTTTATTTTATTGCTAAATTTATTAAAATAATTAAAAGTATAATTTTTCTTTTTAAAAAAAATCGAGTGATCAACTGAAAAAAAAATGTTTAAAAAATCAAGTGATCAACAGAAATTTTTTTTTTTAAAAGATAGAATAATAAAACCAAATGGATTTGATTTTGTAGTACAGTAAAGGAAATATTAATTATAGATTGTCCAGAAAAAGTCATTTTGAAACACAATCCACACGTCATTTTTCTCTTGCGACACAGTTGCAGAGTGTGTAAATAATAAACTTCATTAAAAAAAAAAAATTTTTTTTTTGACCTTCTAAAAGTTATAAAAAAATATATTATCACAATATTTATCATAATTTAGTACAAAATCAGGGAACAAAAATAAAAGGCAAAAGTCTCGATATCGAATAAGCAATGTAATGAATTTCAGTCACTAATATTGCAAGAAAAAAATTGTAATACAAAATCTGCAAGATATGACAACAGAATCATTGAACTGCCAGTTAATAAACAAAACATAATAACATAAACCAGAATATGTAATGCTTATTAAAAAAATCAATATGATGAGGCAAATTAAATTTTCGTCAGAAGAGGTACATGTTACATAAGTGATACATATAACTAAAACTAATTCTAATATAATAAACGATTGTGCAAGAGGTAGGTATGCAACTTTACAATAAAGGTTTTTAAACATTATAAACAATTCACACACTGAAATAGAAAAATAAAACACAACATAAATGTGAAAGAGTTTGAAATACATGGAATGGCAATATTTTATTTAAATATTATGTTTAAGGTGGTTGAACCATATACAGACATCAATACAGATAGGCTAAATCCTCTGAATTTTTAAAATCTGAAACTAGTAATATATGATTTTTCTTATATTTTCTATTCAAGCTCGTTCCTTTATATTAAAATTTTTTTTTGTTTCTAAAATTTTTTTCGCATTTATTTAAAGGGTTTAAAAATCACTCAAAGTTTGTCTAAGAAGTAAAATCTACATTGAAAAGTATCATACATCGATAAAACGCCTTAAAGCACATTACTTCATGTACATTTATAAATACATGCTATAAATAAATTACACACTAAGAAATCTCGAGAGTTATTAAATTCTTGAACAATAAGACAGATATAATTAGGTTTAATACATTCACTTCTTGTTATTAAGTGCTTTCATTTCTTAGCATTAGAAAAAGTATTTTAAGTGCGGAAATAATGTATAAGCCTGAATGAGACAAAAGGTTTCTTTTAAGTTAGCTACATAAAAAGATTTAATGAAAGCTTTTAACATGAATGAATAGATAATAGGCGAAAATTCAACAAGTTGAATCTTTAAACACGACATAACAAAGATTAAAGGTGTTTAAATTTAAAAATTGTGCACAAATTATAGATATATTAATTAAAAAAATTAATGATTATTTCATTTGATAATATAGCTTATCAAATTTCAACAAACATGTTTTATTAGTCTAATATCCATGCATATTTTTAGCTCATAATTATTTTTTTCAAGGAAGCTAATTCTTTTGAAAACTCAATGCTGATTACCAACTTTTTGCTTGAATGACTTTGTCAAAACTTATAGATAGTCAAAGTATTAATAAAATCTAATAAAGAAACTGAAACATAAAAACAGAATACACCGGGAATATAATTCTATAAAAAAATAAATAAAAATAAGTTGTTCAAGAGCAATAGCACAATCATGAAACTATTATGTAAACACAAAGAGCATAATATTTTTATTTAAAATACTTTTAAAAAAAAAACCAAAAACCTATTAGTTGACTAGTAGAGATTTGCACATCATAAGAAAAGTACAGTTATCAATTAAATATTAAATGATTTTATAACATACAATAAACTAACATTCTAAAGCGGAGTATTATTTTGCAATTGATATTAAACAAAACTTGCAAAAGGTAAAGACCTGCCTAAACTTTGAAAGCATCACGATAAACAAAAAAGAATGTTGGAGTACATAAACATAATTGCATAAAAAAAAATTTCAATTTTTGCTAGATTTCAAAACAATTGAGGAAACCATAAATGAGACAAAACAAAACTACACATACGCTCTTTGATCAGACTTTCAAAACTAATAACTCATTCCTTTTTTTTTCCCTTAAATTAAAGGCATAATATAACAATTATTTACAACACATTTAAATAATAAAAACAAACTCATTATTTCTCACAGTTTTTAAGTTGAATTATCAGTTAAAATTTTTTGGAAATTAAGTCTCTCGATTTAATGGCCTGCCAAGCCATTTATTTCTTTAAATTTAAAAAATAATAATAATAATTCTAAAATGATGCAAAAAATCTTTTACTTAAAAATTCACAACTATTTGTTTGAATTTTAATCACACCAAAAATTTAATTTATTTCAATATAAAACAATAATAATAAACTTATTCTCTTAGTAAAAGTATGATAGGCTAAGATAAGTGTTTAACAAAATGAAATAATTTTAAATCACATACAAGTGTTCTAAAAAAAAGATACAGTTTAATACTTCTAAAATCTAATGCATTAAAAGCTTTTGTTGCTTTTTATTCCATCTTAGAAAAAATTTTAATTTGCAAGATAATTGCAGTGTTTCACAGTTTAGTTAAAAAGAAGAAAATGTTATAATTGAAAAGGAAATGTATGAATAATAACTTTCATTAAAAACGATAGAATAATTTCTAGTTAGATATTATTTTCTAATAAAAAAAACATTTTGATAAATAATAACATTTTGATTAAGTAATTTTTAGGAAAAATTATTTTATCAAAATATTGTTCTTTGTAATCACAAATCAGTAATTTTCTGAGGCATACATTTTATCTAATTATCAACATAAATGAAAAAAATTAGTTTAGTAAACTATAAATATTTTAATTAAAAAACATAAAACTATTTTTAAAAAAATTTTTTTTTTTTTAAATATATGCTTTAATTGTAGTCAAAAGCTTGGAAAAGTTATACTTAATAACTTTTGTCAGTAATATTCCAAAAAACTTACTATAAGTTATTAAATGTTAATTTTTTACTAATTTTCAATTAAAAAATAATTTTTTCTTTTAAATTGACCTAATCATCACTAGAAATTCATAAAACTATTAATTGCAATAATCACTAAGTATTTTGCATAATTAAAAATTATGTTGGAGAATTTAACTTGAAAAGGACTACTCATTTTTTTCTTAGACCTCAACTTAAAACCCTGAAATGCATAATCTTACTAAATTTGTCGAAACACATATGAAAAACATTTTATTATAAGAAATTTATATTCTTATTGATAACATATCTACAAATTCTGAATATTCTTTTTACACTAAGTTTAAACAGTAAATTTTTCATTTTCATATTTACAAAACCACTAGTAGTTACAGCAACATTATGAATAACTCTTTTTCACACATACATACAAAAATACCTATAGGTTAATAGTTGGGTATTCTTAAATTAATGATATGCATAAAACACACATACACTAGAATTTATTATACACAGAAACCAATTGCCACTGAATACACCTTGAGCAAAAGTCATTTCCATAGACAATGACTTTTAAAATCTGTGAATGCACTGCATATTTTGTAACTGATACTTCTGTATCAGAAGCAGTAAAAAGAGCAATCCTAGAACCATCAAGACTTACAACTATAATTGAAATGCATGGTTGGAAACACAAACAAGTGTTAAATATCAGACACAGAGTTGAATCAAGTCCCAGTTAAATTTCATAGCACCTTTTAATAATATACTTCATTTCATATTAATACCTCTGTATTAAAAACACTTCAAAGTGATCATTTTGAAAAAATTAAGTCATTATACTTAAGGAGGAACTCTGTGAAGTGGTTTATTTTCGTGATGGAGAAGAGGGATGCTTGTTTGTTCCGGGCCCACAACAAATTAGGTCCAAAGACAATAGCAAGATTGGATGCTGTCATTTTGTTTAAATCACTGCGATCAATGACCTAACAATGACAGACATGTTATTAATGAAACATAAAATTAAAAGAAGACAAACAAACAAACAAAAATAAATATTGAAATCAGTCTTTTAATAAGAAGGTAAATTGAATACCAATTAAGCCAGCTTTTATTTCTATGATCAGTAAAATAACAAATCTAGTTAGTTCAATTATGACATTTAAGAAAATTAAAAAAGCCCTAAAGATTTTTTTTACAAAAAGATTTATAACATTTAGAATTTTAAAAAAAATATTTACATAATTAGAGACTAAAAGAAAAATTTATTCAAGTATTTCTATTATTTAAATATACAGTACAGAACCCGTTATCCGAAAATCTGAAAACCAAAAAACCGGAATGAAATTCGATAAATTTTCCCGTCATTTTTTTAAAAAAATGTTTTTTTCCTCTTAAGATTTTAGGATTTTTCTTTCTTTTTTGAAAGATGTTTACCTTACCATCATTTTGGAAATAATCATTAGTGTATTACTTCATCGTTTTTTCTTCTTTTTAAGATTAATTCCAAATATTTTTGTCTTTAGTTGGGTTTAACAATAAAAAAAAAGGGTTTTTGTAGCGATTCAGAAAACCGGAAAAATCAGTTATCCGGNTAAGTTAAAAGAAAAATGGTATTGATTTCTATTTCATTTATGCACTGATTTTGCTCTAGATGTTGGAAAATTCTGTTGATTTCATAGTATTTTGTGTAATTAAAATTTTTTACTTATTTACTATGAACCATGATCTTATTTTTCATTTTGCATTTAAAATAATTGTTATTTTGTTAATTGAATACTGTTCTATTCAAAAGTATCAATGGGTATTTGTAGCTTTGTTAATTGTTTTAATAAATTACACAAAATATTAAATTAGTCTTAGACAATTGGAAGCAGGTTTCTAGAAATTCAAGAATTAAAAAAATTTTTTTTTGGATGTTTCAAAATAATTTAATTTTTAAAATCATCCTTCACTCTTGTTTTGCATTAAGGGACTTTTGTTTAATAATTTGATTATTTTCTCTAATACAGTACAGAACCTGTTATCCGGAAATCAGAAAACCAAAAAACCAGAACGAAATTCAATAAATTTTCCCGCTATTTTTAAAAAAAATTTTTTTTTTTCCTCATAAGATTTTAGGATTTTTCTTTCTTTTTTGAAAGATGTTTACCTTACCATCATTTTGGAAATAATCATTAGTGTATTACTTCATCGTGTTTTCTTCTTTTTAAGATTAATTCCAAATATTTTTGTTTTTAGTTGGGTTTAACAATAAAAAAAAAAGGCTTTCTGCAGCGATTCAGAAAACCGGAAAAATCAGTTATCCGGAATAGCGATGGTCACGATCGTTCCGGACAATCGGTTCCCTACTGTATTTGAAATTTTTACTTTCAAAATTCCATATTTTCTAATGGATATTCAAAGATTTCCATTTTAAAAACCAGTAAGCTTAAAAAAAAATTTGAAAAATATTTATTCATTTAGGAATTAGAGTAGTGTGACAAATTTTCCTCTTTCCCCCACTACAGCGCCTCTGGCGGTGAACTAAGACAGTCTGCTGGGAACCGCCGTATAATAGGGACGTTTAATTTGAACCCTTTCTTGTATTTCATTTTTTTTACTCTTGTTTCATTTTATGTGTGTTTTATATGCGTGTTCAATAAATATTTAGAGTTAGTTAATTACTGGCCTTTCATTATTTATGTGAATTGGTAAAAATACAAATAAACCAAGACTTCCCCTACAGTAGTAATTCTTTTTTAAATATATTACCATTATTTAAATATATGAGAAAGTTTAATTTTAAAAATAGCATATTTTAATGAATTTTTAATTAAGTCCAATGGGAACTGTTTGGTATGTGTTGGCATGTACAACACCTTAATCGTATCACTGAATTTGTCAAAAATTCTTCGTGCCATACCAAACAATAATAAAACAATTCTCACCGACTAAAGTTACTATTGAATATGATACTTTATTGATTAATTAATTTCAAAGTTTCTAACTTTTAGAATTTTCTAATAAAATCAGATTGTTAATATAACATAAATACATCTCAAATGAAGAAAAATTTCAAACAAAACCTTACATAGCTCATGATTTTATGAAGTTAAATTTATTGAATTAAAATTATATGGCAATGCTCAGAATTTTTTTAAAGTTTTATTTTAGTATATTACATGAAGAATTTTACATATAAATAAGAATTGAAACAGCCAATAATCAGTTTGAGGATATAACAAAATTAATTTTTTGTTCTGTCACACTAGCAAAACCAATCAAGTTTTAAGGAAACTGAGTTAAAACTGAATTTGAAAAGTTACATTTAAAAAAAAATTGCTGTATCATAAAAACATTTTTTCCCCCGGGTGAATACATCTGCAATTTAAAAGAAAAAACTTCAAACCCATAACCTTCAAGGCTTCTTGTCTCAAATTTGGAGAATCTAAAACCATGATTATTTTTTAACACAATATTTAAATTATTTTTTTTATTTATTTAAAAAAAATCTTAATTTTAGAAAAAATTTTACAATACACAATTTTTATGGCAAACATAAGAAAAAGTTTTTGTATCTTTTAATTAGTATATTTTATTGAAATTGTACCAAAAGGATTAAAAATCATATGCAATTACCTTTGCTAGAAACTCAAACAGATAACATAACACTTCATAGTTGTCCTCAGGAAGTCTGTGCAAAATGAGGGATTTGGCAACAGGTAATTTTTCAATTGAAGTTAATTCTGAAATTAAGATAAGACATAAAACGTCACGAAATATATTTACAGAAAAAGTTGTCTGCCAGATATAAAAAAAAAATAAAATAGGGCTAATAAAATAGATTCAATGAGCTAAGAAAGAGTAAACTTTTGCCAAATAATATTTTTTGATAAAATAAAACAACAAAATTAGTTGTGAGGAAGATGCAAAAATAAAGCACTGAACAAGTTAATAAAAATTCTAGTTATAACCCTAACAAACCACTTTTACATTTTTTTTCTTTCAGTGATAAACTTAGATTAAACTATGATAAATTAAAATGTAACATAGTCAGAATGTTAAAAACACTTCTTATATGATAGTAATAGTAAATATGATAGTAATAGATGTGATAGTAAAAAAAAATTCTGTGCTCAAAAATAATGAGATTAAGATATTTAGACATTTCAACAAAAAAAAGTTCTTCAACAAATATCAAACATATGACAGTTATTAACAACTATAGCCTACTAAACAGTAACATTGTCACTAACAATAAATAATATATATGATGCAGTCACGAGTATAATTCATAATAGAATAAGTCTTCAAAAGTTGAATCTATGACAGTTATTCACAATAATGCCCTGACATATTCAAAAACATGAAACATATATGAAAAAGTCACAAATATTAATTATTGATAATAATAATTATAGATTATGATAATATGATTAATAACAAAAATTATTATCAAATACGACATTACAAGAATTATTGATAATGATAATTATTGGATATATATAATCAAGATTACTGATTACTTTTATTTTGGGAAACAAAAATATTAATGTAAATGAGTTAAACTGTGAAAACGTCGAGACATTAAATATCATTCATGATGTATATTGCTATAAAGTTCTGATAATGCTATGCACCAGAGTTAGCCGTTGATTACAGTAATCGATTACACAGTAATTGATTACAGATAATTACAAGTACAATCTTGATTACAAGTAATCATAATTTTGGATTACATCAGAGTTGAGCAAAAATGCAATCGATTACATTTTTCTCTTACAGTAATCAATTGCTTGTAATCATGATTACAAATTTTGATTACAACTGTAATTATGATTACAATACTCAATTATCAATTACTTGTAATAATGATTACAATACACAATTACAGTTATCAATTACTTGTAATCATGATTACAAACCAGGGTTGGCAAGGTTTAGGACAGAATGGATTAATCCACGGTTTAAACCGTGCTGTCCAAAACCCCTTTGTCCAAAACACTTTTACACAAATTACGTCACAATTTTATCTGAACAATATTTAAGAGGTAGAATAAACATAGAGCTGAAAACATATTGATAATTAAATATACTAGAGAATATTTGTTTTTAAAAGTATAATGTTTTATTAATATTGCTTGACTCTTCAATTTAAACAAAGGAAGATTAATCAGTAATCAAGTTCAATTGGTCCTCTTATTCAACAGTATATAACTGAAGTTTGGCCTCGCCATACAGGTTAAAATATTAGGGACTAAGTGCTTGGTTCGTCATAAACAGGTTTATTTATCTATAGTACTATTCAAGAATACTTTTATTTCATTCATGTTCAATTCTTTTAGCATAGTGGTGATACATCACCAGTGACAGTAACTGAAACTGATGTTATGCCCTTCAAAACTGTTAATACATTTTTCAGTTATTTTGTATTTTCAATTTAAACTAATATATTTATATTTAAAAACAATTTTTTTTAAAATAGATGTCTTTTTTATCATCCTGTGATGCAGAAATTATAACATTTTTTTAAAAAAAAATATTGTGAAAAATAAAAGGTTAATTTTTGAACAAATTTAGTATTTTTTTTAAGAAAAATTATTATTTTTTAATATTGCCATATTTATCCTTATGCAAAAATATTATTTATCAGTATTAAAAGCATATTTATATTTAAAGGATTAGGTATTCACTTTTGTTGTTCAATGAATTGTGGAGCTTCAAAAATTATATACCTTTTCCTATTATATTATATTACTTTCTTTTAATAAGTTATAGTAATTGTATAAAAAATATCAAATATTTATTGATACATGTAATTATTATGTGTACAATGGTTACACCTATAGAATTTTTACCTTTTACCAAAGTTCAAGGTTTTGGACACTTTAAGATAGTTTAGGACAGTTTAACCAGTTTAAGACAGTAAAACCCACGTGTCCTGTCCAAAACCAGTTTAGGATGTCCAAAACCCCAACCCTGTTACAAACATTCATAATTTTGATTAAAACTGTAATCATGATTAACCAATTACTGTAATCAATTGTTGTAATCGTGATTACAAGTAATCAAAATATAAGATTACATGCAATTACGATTGCATGTGATCTAAATATAGGATTACAAGACTATTGTATACTTATATATGGTTATATTTTACAGTAGATAGTATAATGCAACGTATAATGATACATTTTGTACGTATTTACATACAGCGTACATACGAATGAATATAACTAAAATGTATGCACATAAGTATCTGTTTAATGCATATGTAGATAAATATATATGTAGGAATACTGTAGTTACACACTCATATACATGCACTTATATTGTGTGTATAAAATATGTATGTATACAACATAAGTGTATGTATATGAATATAAGTGTATGTATATATACAATATAAGTGTATGTATATATACATACGATATACATATGTAATCGATTGTAAATTATTGTCAAAAATGTAATCGGTTACATTTTTGTCCAACTCTGCTATGCACTATAGCTTACTATACTTAAAAACAATGCAGTTAATTTTAAAAAATGTAAATAAAAATAATGAACTAATTAAAAACCATTAAAATTTTTAAAGATGCAAAAAAAATATTTATATACCTTGAAAAGTCATAATTTCCTCGTATAGTTCAAATGTTAGAATAGGCTCTTCTAATTCTCTCAAGAAAGTCTTTAATATCACAGCAGGAACATGGATATCTCCATAATCATCAAAATTTACAGGTTTACCTTTAATGAGAGCACTGTATGAGATGTATTGACTTTAAAAGCAAAATATAAAAAATTCTTACAGAATTTTTTTTTTTTACCTTCATCAAATAGACTCTGAACTTCTTGAACAATTTTTGTGTTGGCTGAACGTCTGAATATTCCTTCAGTCTCCAGAGCTAAAAATAAATAAAAAAATCAGTGAAATATAAGATAATCTCAAATTTTCAATAATGGAATAAAAATTACTTTTTAAGCTTTAAAATAAGATAGCCAAGCACTATCTTATTTTAAAGCTGCTTATCCCATGTCTTGCAGCTTATGAAATTTTTACTTGAACTTCATGTTTAAGTATAAAATGTTGATGCTAAGTACACTTCTAACCAGGACTACTAAAACATATTAAGTAGAGTTTAATATTCAAAACCAATGAACTGATTAAGTGATTTGAATCATTTTGAAATTGACTGAATCATTTGATTTAAATCCTCATTTGATTTATCTCTATTGAATCCCTGTTTTGCATCAGAACAGAGTAAAATAAAATCACTTATAATCCCTTTAATTCAGAATTAGTACATTTACTTATTATGAAGTTATTGCTAATAGTTCTTAATTAAATTTTCATGGAAAAAATTTCACAAAAAATAGTTTTTAAATTTTATTTCTATGTTTATTTCTTTTTTCAAGCAAATTCAAATTATTCCATTTCTTTTATTGATTAAACTATAAAAAAAAATATACAGCAGATTTGCTGCTTTTTTTGAAAGCAATACCACAAATAAAAAACAATTAAATTATATAAAACATTAGAAAATTAACATTAAAATTAACTGTAAAAGCACTAATATAAAATATTTTTAAAAATTTATATAGCAGCTTTATTATATTTTTTAAAATACCACTAACAATTTTTATTTTAATCATTGTAAATTTCTTTTTAAAATTATACTTAATAAAAAAAATTTATAATACGTATTATATTATTAATAATACAATATTTAATAATACAATATTTAATAATAAAAAAATAAAGACGGCAGAAAACCAGCAACTTATTTTATTGGGTGTTAGAGTGCTTCAAAAATTATAAGACAACTTTAAACTAAAAATAAACATCTACAAAATAATAAATACATACCATTATCATTATCTAAATATTCTATACAATCTCTCATTACACGGGGAATGGTATCACCTTTGCTGTGTTCTTTAATACTAAAATTTAAAAATAAAAAAAAAACTCAATTATAAATATTTTGAAATATTAAACAAAATGTATTTCAAGAGGTAGCAATAGATGTAAAATAAACAAAATATGTATCAAAAAAATTTAAGATAAATTAAAAATTCTTAGATAAATGAAAATAAATGGTTGTGCAATAATTTTAAGATTAAAATAATATTTGTGACAAGGGTAGATATTCGAAATTTATTTTATCCACAAAAAATTAGCACATAAAATTTTACCAAAAACATACTTGTAAAATTGAAAATTTTCTAAAAATATCAAATGATCAAAACATTTTTGGCATAATTTTATACTTAACATGAAATGTTTTTCTCTAAATAAAATTCTGATTTTTTATAGTACATAATACTTTCATGTGCTTTATAACAATAGGGAGATACGTATATTCAGCAGATTTTAGTTTGTAGATATCTTGTTTAAAACCACCAATGTGACAAATGTTCTTTAATAAATACCTCAATAAATGTAAAATTAGTTTATGCACATTTTTAGTTTAGTAGCCTTTTTAGTCTGAACTATTCCAACAGATAGATACATAATAAGCTTAAATCTTTAAAGAATGATGCAGCTTAAACATTTTTCTATACTAAAAAACAAAAATTTCTACTCACTTCATACTTAACAAGGCTATTAATTTATCACTGAGTAAAATAAAATAATTTATATCACACAAAACTCTTTTATAAAAAAAATAAAACTTAAATTTAAAATTATATAACGAAGTTCAAATACTTTAAGCAAATAAACAATATTACATTTTAAAAAAATATTAATTTTGCAACATTATATTATAAAAATTTTTCAAAATTTAAAATTCAAAATATACTGGAAAAAATTTTTTTTTACTTAATATTATTTATGTTATTTTTATACTCAATGTTAACTTAATTTATGTTTACACAAACCAATATAGAGTTACTAATTTTTTCTGATTTAATTGGCACAAGCTATAATCATTTATCAAACATAAACCAATTATTTTTACTAAATAAATTAATGAGATCAAACTGGTTTGAACATTGAAAACTAGAGTTTGAATATTGTGACTCTCACATAAAATAAAATTAAATCTATAAAAATACTAAAACCAAATACTTGAAGCAAATGATAAATATAATACCTTAATGAAACAATTTGAAGAATTTTGTAACAACAATAAATGTAAGACTTGATAAGTACTGTAATTACTTACTAAGACAGTGGCACTCTGAATTGTTGAGTTTCAAAAGATGGCAAATTTGTATGAAACGAACTAGAGGATGATAATTTGGAATTTTTAGTGGCAGCTACAAGTTTTTTGTCATGCCTAGATGAAATATTATGAAATTAAAAAATTTTATTGCATTTAGAAAACAATATTAATAGTAATTACATTTAAATTATTGAAACAAGTACATTTGCTCAATAAATAATTAATATACTGAATGAATAATGAACATGTTTAACAGTGGATGTTTACAGCTAAAAACTTTTTCTCTACAGCATCATAAAAAAAAAATATTTAAAACTATATTTTTCAGGTAGACCAAAAAAAATTTTTTTTGTTGCCAAACCTAAGATAAAAAAAAGTTTGGCGTATAACTTTTTATCAAGGTAGGAACAATTTCAGTGTAGACATCACTGTTTTATCAAAGTAGGAAAAATTTCATTTTGCAATGCACCCATCATTCTAAGTCTGAACGAAAATAAAACTAGTTTTTTTCTTTCTAGTTTACTCAAAAAAAGCAGTTTCTTACATTTAGTGTTAAAATGTAGTGTTTAATATTTTCTTCCTTTTAATTTTACATCGGAAAACTGATCAAAATTTCTTTTAGCGACAAAATAAGGACCCATTTTATTTATACCATTTAACCATTATATATTTAACTTGAATGGACAATTTTTAAAAAAATCTTAATGCATTCAGAATCTCTTAAAATTCCCAGAAAACATTGTTACTTTTCTAAGAGTTCTAATTAAGTTACTTTTAAGCGAAAAATGCTTACTTTCGTTTCGATCTGAAAAGGAGAGTCACGTGATAATTCACAAACTGATATCACTTGTTTGTTTACAATTGCTGTGCTGTGAAAGCCATTACGTTCTTGCATTCCTTTGAATTTTCATAATTAAATTCAACTATTTTAGATGGTAAAAAATTATGTGAGAACAAAGATATGTATAATAAATTGTGCCCTAATGTAGCGTGAGCTTAATATAGTATATTTTTACAGTATTGTTAAATTTCAATGGCGCCCACAGAATCATAGTTAATAATTGATGAAATTTTTTAAGTTTTGAAAATTCAGGATTTTTTAAATTAGTAGAAAAAAAAATATTAGAATGAGATATGGATGCCTGATACTACTTGATATAAAATGATGTGTTATAAATTCAAAATAATTTTGTTCCTTCATTCTCTAAACCATGCTAATCTTAATTTTTAAATATCTTAATCTTAAGTTTCAAATTCCTTTTGAAGATTTAGTTTCAGGTTAATTAAGTAAAGGACATGCCGAACCAATTTTTCATAAAATAGTTTTTAATTTTGAAAATGTAGAAAAGCTTAAGTTATTGATTTTTTTATCTATTTAATCTAGTTTAAATGTAATGCAGAGAAATATATTTTAAATATAGCAGTGACCTTTCAAAAACTTATAATCCCAGCAAAACTTTTAATTCCTACTTTTAAAAAAAACCTTTTTAAGTTAAAAGAGAAAAAAGAAATTAATATTTTCCAGTAGATTTTATTTACTTTATTTTAATTGTGTCAATCAATATTATAAGAGCATTGAATTCAAGCACATGCATTTATTTAGTTTGATACAACAGAAACAGGAATTAAGTTTTATAAATACATATAAAAAAAATTATTCGCCATAACAAAATTCCTAATTACTCAAAGAATAAAAGTGGTAAGAAAAGATATACGCTTAGCCTAATGATATTCGCTGAAATTATGTGACTAAATTAAAATGCATTAAGTGAAATTTTAAGTATAAACACATAGATTGTGGAAATGATGATGATGGAGAAATATATTTCAATGGACTAGATTCTTGATAGTGTTAATAATCGAATAAGTTAAGATTGAAAATAAAATAAAAAGTTATGAGATGCTTAATTGTCCACTGGCATCAGATACAGAGCTTTAATTGAACTTTCAATATTCTAGCTATTTGGAACTGGTTGAAATTTCAATTAAGCATAAATTTTATTTGGTGATAAAAAGTCTACCTATATGATCAAATAATTGAAATTTGCATTGTCATTTAGAACAGAGCTCCAGATACATTTTGAGCATATTTAGCTTCTGATGATAAATTCTGCTAGTAACAGTAAGTAAATGATTAAAACTTGTATTATTGTTTGGTTTAGGAGCTCAGTCGATATTTGTGTTCTAACAAGTCGTAAGGTATCTAAATTTCAATTACAAAGTTCTATCCCAGATAGACACTAAAACGAGTTAATAAAAATGTAATAAAAAGAGTTGAAAAATGAATACTTACTCTAACACTGGTTTTGGAATGGCAAGTTGATCAAAATGCAAATGTTGTTTTAACTCATGAAGATAATTCACATACATCACTTTCTTTCCAAATTTAGCACTATAAAAATGATATAACAAGTTAAATTGATAAAGAGTACAAAATTAATTGAATAAAGATAGAACATAAAAATTATTAATTTTTAAATACAATCTAGTTTAGTAAAATACACGCAATGAAAATGCACAAATTTGATTGCAAATATTACAAAACTAAATGATACCAAAAATTATAAATTATTAACTGCTTATTAACAATAGTAAAATAATATAGTTCATTGATTTTCCTTTCTACAATGCATGAGCAAATATTTATTTTAAAAACTGCCATTTAAATATTTTTTTCATATTTTATAAAAATCTTGTCACAAAACACCAAAATTAATTTTTTTAGCAACAGTCAAAGTACCATTTGGATTATGATCAATTAACTCTTCCCTCATTCTTTAATAATTTAACCCATTAACAAACCTCAAATATGTTAAAGATCTTAAGGGGATGAAAACTTAAAATGATCAAATTTTATAAAACAATTATAAAAGAAATAATTTAAAGTAAATAATGTACCTAATTACAGGCTTAAAGAGTCTCCACACAAAGCGAATGAAATTTGTGGGGTGGACTAGATACAAAGCTTTTAAATTCTTCTTATACCTATAAACAAGTAATAAAATTATACAATATACAATTTCTAGAATATACAATTAATGAATAGGAAGAACATAGTTTTTAAATACGAAAAAGACAAAAACTTCTCCATTAACTTTTTAATTGAAACAAACATATAATTAAATATCCATAACTTTTTTTCTTTCAAACAATTACAACAGCATGGTTCTACAAACAGTAACTGTCAAAAGTGGTTCAAAGTAAAAAAATAATTTCTACTTACAGTATTTGCAAGAATGAATTTATTTTAATATATAAAAAAAAGGTTCTTAAACACTGAACTTTCAAATGATCACCTAGTATTCACAACATGCTGAAGTAAAAACAATTTTCTATTAATTTTTATAACATTTCATCTTCAACAGTAGACTCTCTGTTGAACTTTGTCAAATTTCAAACCTGCAGAGTAATTTGAACTAAGTTAATACTGCTTAAAACTTTATTAAAAGAAAATGTTGCACTGAATAAAACAAAAATAGTTGGGTTTAGATTAAATATTATACTATAAAGTCAAATTTAAAAATAAAAAAAATTCACAGAAATAATTACACTTAAAAAAAAATTTTTTTTTAAATCAAGCAGAATATGGTTTCTTCAATCAGGATTAGTTTTAAATTTAAATTTTAAAAAAAAACTGAATTTTATACCAGAATTTCTGAAAAATTTAAACCAAAACAAGTAATCCTTCAAAAATTGCATTTATTTATATAGTTGTGGGATTTTTTTTTTTTACAAAAATAAATATAAGTTCTAAAGTTATAGCAAATATTAAAATGACTTTAAAATTATCCTTCTTAGTAAAAGGCGTGCAAAACTGAATCTAGCAGTATTTAACTTTTAAAATCTCTTGCCATTACACAAATCAAATAAAAAGTTTAATTGCATAGAGTTTCGTTAAAATTCTTTAAACCATTTTAAATGGGTTAAAATTTCACTACCATGAAATGAAACATATTTTAAAAGAAATCAATAAAGAATATGAAGATCTTGGTAACAAAGACAGATAAAAGATTTACATAATTCTTCAAACCAATACAAATTTCTTTTTTCTTTTCAAATTAGAAAAACTGATGATTTACCAAGTACACAAAAAAATTACTACTACTTTAAAAAGTAGCAGAAAATGAAGAAAAAAATTAGTAAAATTGAATAAAGGTGTGGGTAAAAGAAAACGAATTTATCATACATGATTTTGATCAAACAAAAATTTTTCCAAACTTAGTTTTGTGAGAAAATGCTATATTTTGCACAAAAAACCAGTAACAGCAAACAATCCCTTATGAAATTGGCAAAAGAAGATATGCTCTGATGAAGTAAATGTTCTCCAAAAGAATGTTCACCAAAGTGAATGTTCTTAAACTATTCACTTTTTAAAAAAAAGGTAAAATTTAAGCATTAAAAAAAGAAACATTTAGCCTAACATTAAATAATAAATTTTTTCTTCAAACAAAATAAAATGCAGCAAAGTTTTCTCAAGTTTGCCTCATTAAAAAATTTCTAAAGTTTAGACTTGTACAAAAATATAGCTTGAATAAGGCCAGAGATGACTATTGGATAAACTAATTAACAATGAAAAATCTACTGTTAAAAACATATTGAATTTCGTCAATAAATGTTTTTTAAACCTGTAATTATCTATTCAGCATAGGACCTTGTGGCTAGCCTGATTTTTCCATAAGATTCAAAGGAAAAGCACTAAATGGTAAGAATTTTTTTTTTTAAAATTTGCTTAAGTAGTTCAATAAATAAATGGCTACAATCTGGAAAACATATAATCATCTTACATTTTCTCAATCCAAAAGCAACAGAAAGTGCATTGAAATATTACTCAATAACTTATATATCATCATTATTACAATTTGAAATATTGATGCCTTAATTAATAACTTACTTTCTGTCAAAAGCTTTATAGGCATCCCACAACCAACTCAGTGGTAATTTATTTTTGCTGTTTAATCCATAGTGAAAATAAACAAGTGTGTAATCAGCTTCAACAAATTGATCCAATGTGTGCATAAGGTATCTAAAACAGATATGATAGTTTCTTACTTATGCAACAAAAGAATCTATATTATAGTCAATTTAATTAAATTTTGTAAGCATGTAAGAGAAAGACCAAACTAGTCTATGCTATCAGCAAAATATTTAAACCATGTAATAAAAATAAGTATAACTGATGCTCTAATTTCTGTTGTATTCTAGTGAAAAGCTCAAAGGTGTATTGTCGCATATTTCTTTAAGATTTTGTTTTACTATCTATCAATAAGGACGATTTTATTAATTTTTATTTACAATAAAAAAAAACAGCAACACCTTATATTTGTTTAGAACCAAGGCCAAAAAACATTGAAACTCTATAAAAACATTCTTTTTAATATTCAAACAGAATTATGGAATTCTGAGTATGAAAGCAATGAAAAAGCTAACAATTTGAGCTCAACTTATTGAGCTCATTGTAAATAAAATATTGTAAATAAAAAAATAAGTAGAAAAAGTATACAGAAAAACATTGTTGATGAAAATTAGTATAAATTAATGAAGGATAATGAACTATTGTTGAAATAAAATTAAAGAATACTTTAATTTTTTTTTTTTAAAAAATATCAAAGATTTTATCATTGACTCCAGTACAAAACATTAAAAAAGGAAGAAAAAAATGAAATTACAGAAATTACATTAAGTATCTAAAAATAGAAATCGCTTTAAATGATTTTTTACAAAACACCAAAGTAAGTTATCAATTCTAAATTCTATAAAACATTCTTATTTCATTAAAAATGCTTGTAAATTTCTTCCAAAAAGAAACTGAATGGAAGATATTACATCTGGATGAAGACAAGTCAAGATAACATCTAATTAAAAGGCAATAATTACAAATAATTAAAGTTTTGGATAAAGAGAAAAGTAAAATCAAGTAAAACTTCTATAAGAAAATAATTAATGCGGGTAAATCCTACATGAACAACAGATAACATATTCAAATGAAGATGAAAGATACCAAGACTATTAAAACTACTACATTTTAAAAAATTTATATACAAGACTATATGAGATTATATAGTTAAAAAAAACTTAAGAAATATTAATTACTCACTGTATTAAATCTAGCATTATAAATATCATCAAATTGGAAGATTTTAAAATTTTTCACAACATTAGAATATTGGACAAAAAAAATTGTACACATCAATTTTAATTATTATAAACATTTAAATATAATTACCTTAAAAATCTAGCATGATTAAAAGCCTTGTTTGATGGCAATTTACAGGCTGATATTACTATAACTTTACGACCATATGAATCATCACCTGAAACAGAAAAAAAAAATTATAAATGAATTATCCAAGGAGTCTATAACATTATAATGATGAGCCAAGAAAGTTTGACTGAAATGAATTCACTTTCTAAATAGGGATTATGAGATTTTCTTTCAACAAAGATATTTATAGCAATGTCATAGTAGAACCAATAAAAATGCAACTAAATGTAGTTGTAATAAGCATCCTAATAGATTCAGAAAAAAAATCCTTCATAATTTTTTAATTTAACACTGGGTTAGTGAAAAATTCCAAAAAAACAACAACAACAAAATGTTTTAGAAAGAAAAAAAAATAAACAAAATGTTTTAAATAGTAAAAGTTCTTTTCAGTACTTTTAACCTTTTATTGGTAATACTAAGAGTTGGTGTGTTGTGAAACTAATCTCACAAAATAGATCTCAAAAAATGTTTAAATTAAAAAAAAAAATTTTTTTTTTGTTGCTTACATAAGCAATAAAATATAATTACATAAAATTAATTACATAATTAAATAATTACATTAAATTAATTACATAATTTAAAATTTTAATTTCATTGATAATTACATAAAACATATACCAACTATAAATCTTTTTTCTTTTTTATAATATTCTACATGTTCTGGAATTCAAATCTAAATAAATTTTTCTGAGTAAAAGCAATTAAATATGCTAGAGAAAATAATAGCCAAACAAGCTAAAGTTATTGATATGGAATTATTTAAAATAAAGAGATACTTTTCTAGTTTCAACCTTTTATAAAATTTTTGAATAAAAAATATCTTGGAATAAAAAAGCAGGATATATTTAATAATTCACAAAAAAGAATTTTATTTCATATGCTTAATTCCGAACATAGAATGTTTTTTTTTTTATGTGAACATAGATTAGATAGACATAAAACAAAGATTCACATTAAAAAAATTATTCTTCTTTATGCAGACTGTTTATGATATTAATAATGAAACTTTTACAATATTCTCCAGTAATAGACAACACAAACATGACAATGTAGGGGTCCTGTCAATGGAAGATGAGCGACCAGTTTGACATATACACCTGCCACATTATCAAAAAATCAAACATTAAAAAACATTTTAAAAAATTAAAATGTAGGGAAGAGTCGGGTAGCCCAAGAAGTATTGCTTATATTTCTGTATAATATTGAGTAATAATCAATATTTTTGTATGTTTCTATTGTTTTGTCATCTAATTAAATAATGCAAATAGAATAAACCAAAAAAAGAATAGTTTAACTAAAAAAAATAGAAATTTAAAAAAATTGACTACTGTATTCAACATATTTTCAAAACTATTGTTTACCATGTTACCAGCTGCATAAATGCTTGAAACTTTGAATATAATATTTTTTTAATATAACAATTAATGTCTGATGGCCCATTGACTTGAAAAAATATTCTATACATATGAAATTGACAGTGGGTGGGGGTACCCGACACTCCCCTAGGTCAAAAGTAAATTTGAAAAAAAAGAAACATTTAACACACTTGAGTCTCTGTTTAATAGCGTTTTACTTAGCAATAGACTCTATTTAAAGACAATGTGTTGCAGTCCTGTCATGTAAAAAATCTCCATTTAAGGACAACTTGGTCTCTATTTAAGGAGCAAAACTTTTATAGGTAGATAAAATCTTTATAACAGTTTATTTAACAGAAGCAATTTTTTACAAGCATAAACAGGTTTTTTGTAATGGGGTTACGGAAGACAGGATAGATGTTCAGTTATAGAATTTTTTCAACTATCATGAAGATAATTTAGCAACTGATTTAAAATTGAATTTATTAAGACATTATAAAGGAAAATGAGAATGAAGTGAAAATTGAAATAAAAAATGGGTCATCACTGCCTATTGCAGATGCAATAATTACTATTGATATTTTAAGAAGGTATATTATCTCATCCAATATAGAAAATAACTCCTTTAATGTTCTCAAGACAGGAAGGAAAAGTTATCAGAGCTGTTTTACAGCAATCGACATTTTTTTTTAAAATTAATTTTATTCTTGCACTAGTTTATTTCATTTTAGTTATTGTGCTCTTGCATTAATATAATTCATGCAATAGAAAATAAAATTAAAAAATAAACATTTTTAAATTTACTAATTAATTATGAAAAAAATTGACAATCCTAAGCCTGCAAAAGAAAAAGTTTTTCAAATGCTATTTTTCCAAATATTTTGATAAGAATGCAATCTAATTAAGGCAAATTTTTCACACTCTCTACAAAGTTGATAAACAGAGAGCCAAATATCTATACAGTTCTATTATCAATGGAAAATAAAAAAAAATATATATACATAATGGAGGCAAAGAATTTCAAAATTTATCAAATGTCAAATTTACCAAATGTCAAATTTATCAACGTAAAATTTTCAAAGTCTTAGCTGCACTAATTAATCCTTACCACCAATCGAAAAAACTAATAATAAAAAATATATCTATGGATGGTTGACTGAATGTAAACAATAGCAAGCTTCTTAAAACCGGAAGAAATTTAGAAAACTTCCAGCGTATTGCTCTTATGGTATGCTTACGAAGCGATGTATGATAAGGCTCAATATTCAAGGAAGTTTTATTGTGATTTGTGACTAAATTTATGCTTAATTTTGCCATTCATAAAAGTTGTTCTCTGTAATTTACAAATTTTAACTGGTTGTGATCCCAAAACAAATTTAAGAAAAATAATATCAAAACGTAAATAAAGTGTAAGGTTTGTCACGTTTCACATGTTATCTCTTATTTGGCTATGGTTGTGCAAAATGTCACCATTTGTAATTTTTTAGGTTGCATCATAGCATGCATGCAGGGCCGGATTAACCTATAGGCACACTAGGCACGTGCCTAGGGCCTACGAAATTCAGGGGCCTACGAAAAACTTGAGAGAAAAAAATTTGTTGACAAAAATAATTTAGCTTTAAAAACAAGTGTATTTTGCACAAAATTATGAAGATACAAATAAAAATATAATATTTTTCGGTAATAAATTATTTTGCAGAATCTTATGATCTAATATATTACTTTTTTGCGATTTTTGGATTCAACGAAATCTTGTATTATGCTGTCGAATTCCAAACTACGCAAAATGTCGTATTCAATAGACATAAGTGCGAGCGATGCCAAACGATCTTGATTCATTGTTGAACGCAAATAATTTTTTATCAATTTTAATCTGGAGAAAGATCTTTCTCCTTCTGCATTTGATCCAAGAATCGACAAATATATTCTTAATGCAATGTGAGGAAAAGTATTCACAAGTTTATCTTTCAAATGTTATATTTCTACCTTTTTTTTTCTCTTTAAAGTTAAGAGTACCTTTCTTTTTTCTCTTACTTTATGCATTACACTTTTTCCTTGTAATTCGGGTTCGATAAAACATTGATTAACGACACTTTTTGGTCGATCCAGAAAACTGGGAAATTCAGACATCCGGGATAGCGATGGTCTTGAGCATCCCGGATAATTGGTTCTCTACTGTATAAATATTTCTTGTAATTAATCTCGCTATCAATTTCACTGTTTTCTTTGCTGGTTTGTTGTTGTATTTTTGACGTGAAGTGTTTACATAGTTATCGATCGAACTAATCATAATGGTATTATTGATATAAACTGTAATATCATCAGTATGTCGGTATTGCAGATAAAGTTCGATAAACAAATTCGTAAATTAAAATCCATATTAATAAAAATGTAAAAAAAAAAAGATGCAAGAAAATTTTAGCATATATTTTGAAAAGAGGGGAAGGAGGGGAGGGTCCAAAAACGGCTATACCTAGAGCCTACGAAAGGTATTATCCGGCTCTGTGCCTAGGGCCTACGAAAGGTATAATCCGGCTCTGNATTTTAGCATATATTTTGAAAAGAGGGGAAGGAGGGGAGGGTCCAAAAACGGCTATGCCTAGGCCCTACGAAAGGTATAATCCGGCTCTGCATGCATGTAGTGATCTTCTAATACATTTGTTGTTTGTTTCGTTGAAATTTAAATTAAAGATTAGGAGACTAATAAACAACAGAATAATAGATTTTTACCTGCCACTTCAATTACACCATATTTAGAGATGTCAGAAAAGTCATCTTCTTCTTCATCTTCAACTTTATTGTCATTGTTTTCTTTATAATCTTCATCAAGATCAGGTGGGAAAGCATCTGTTGTACCTAATAGTTCTTCGAAATTATCTTCCATTAGGCCATCTGACATAGGAGACTCTAATAAATCACTATCGGTGTTGACTGTTTCTTTATCATTATCTAAGTCCATATCTACAACAATTTGATGAATATTAGGAAGAGTAAGGAAAAACAAAATAATGACACATCAGAAACCAGAAAACTCATACCAACCCTGAATACTAAAATATTCAAGATAATTCAAAAATTAAAAATACTAAGATGAAAAACAATACATAGCTATTTATTTATTACATAAATACAAAGCTGATATCATAGAAACACATTTGCAGGTTCAAATATAATATAAATATTAAAAACACTGGCTTAATGCTAAAAAAACAATTTATTTTAACAAATAGATAAAAAAAAATAAAAATTTTGAAAATAAAAAAAGTAAAAAAATTATAGTTTGCAGTAATTAGTGTAAAAGACATGCAGTACCTTCATATGAAATATATAAAATACGAAGATACATGTCCACATTGCCTTTTTGGTAGCAGTAACATGCATATAATTAACATGTTTTACTGCCCCTGTAAATAAGCAATTAATAACATACGAAAATTATATTAACAATTTAAACCAAATATGTTGTTTTAACATTAAAAAAAGCATAGAAATTTTTAAAAATGCAAAAAAATAATAATTTTAATTGTTTCAAGGCAAATTATATATGAATAGCATGTAAATATAATATCCTAATTTCAAATGCTGTTTCTGTCTATTTCTGTTTTTTAAAAGTTAAATATTTCTAACAAAAAATTAGAATAAAAAAATATTGCTATCCCTTTGTTTAATAATGATGTGGAATTTAAAAGCTGCTGGATAAAATAATATAAGTAATATATAAGTAATATTTTTTTATATGCGTATGCCTCAATAATTATAATAACTCTAAACTAAAAATCTTAAAGTAACCTTTAACACACCGAACACAAAAAATTCTACTAAAAGTTTAGTTTAAATACATATCAATACAGTAGAGCCCTTATTTAACGAGAACTTGGATTTAATGAATACATCGTTGGTATAATGTTAAATATATTGGAGCATACCTCGCTTTTGACAAACAAACCCTAAAGCTGGATAAAATAATATAAGTAATATATAAGTAATATTTTTTTATATGCCTCAATAATTATAATAACTCTAAACAAAAAATCTTAAAGTAACCTTTAACACACCGAACACAAAAAATTCTATTAAAAGTTTAGTTTAAATACATATCAATACAGTAGAGCCCTTATTTAACGAGAACTTGGATTTAATGAATATGTCGTTGGTATAATGTTAAATATATTGGAGCATACCTCGCTTTTGACAAACAAACCCGAGTTTTAGCGAGCAACATTTTTATGGTTCGTGAAATTTCTACTTAATTTCAATTATCCAATTAAGCTAATCCCTCCTTGAAATTTTTTTTTTGATGTTTTTAGAGTCAATTTTTTTTTGTCCACATTTTTCAGATGAACTTTGAACTTTTATGATTATTTTCACTTACCCATTTTAAAATCTTAAAGTATCTAAACTAAAAATCTTAAAGTAACCTTTAACACACCGAACACAAAAAATTCTACTAAAAGTTTAGTTTAAATACATATCAATACAGTAGAGCCCTTATTTAACGAGAACTTGGATTTAATGAATACATCGTTGGTATAATGTTAAATATATTGGAGCATACCTCGCTTTTGACAAACAAACCCGAGTTTTAGCGAGCAACATTTTTATGGTTCGTGAAATTTCTACTTAATTTCAATTATCCAATTAAGCTAATCCCTCCTTGAAAATTTTTTTTTTGATGTTTTTAGAGTCAATTTTTTTTTGTCCACATTTTTCAGATGAACTTTGAACTTTTATGATTATTTTCACTTACCCATTTTAAAATCTTAAAGTAACTAAACTAAAAATCTTAAAGTAACCTTTAACACACCGAACACAAAAAATTCTACTAAAAGTTTAGTTTAAATACATATCAATACAGTAGAGCCCTTATTTAACGAGAACTTGGATTTAATGAATACGTCGTTGGTATAATGTTAAATATATTGGAGCATACCTCGCTTTTGACAAACAAACCCGAGTTTTAGCGAGCAACATTTTTATGGTTCGTGAAATTTCTACTTAATTTCAATTATCCAATTAAGCTAATCCCTCCTTGAAAATTTTTTTTTTGATGTTTTTAGAGTCAATTTTTTTTTGTCCACATTTTTCAGATGAACTTTGAACTTTTATGATTTTTTTCACTTACCCATTTTTTACAAATACTACGTTGTAATAAGCAAATATTGCAATCCTTACACACTCGATATAAGCGAGTTTGATTGTATATTTTTTTTTCTGCACAGAAGAACGATTTTTATAATTATAAAACAAATTATATTAACTAATGTTTTAAAACAAATTTTTATATCTATTTATACATTTTTATATTTTTACAAAAATAAAAATATTTTGATATAAAAATGCTAATGATGCGGCCAATAATTTTTGCGTTATTCTAAGCCGACAAAATAAGAATATTTTTTAAGCTGTGAAATTCAATTGTGCAAAAACTGTAAGCAGAAGTAGTATGATCTTTTTTAGAGTCGCACATTCTTATGTCTCAAAATGAGTAAAAACTCTTCATTTGTTTTAATTTCAATATACTTTTGTAGTAATTAAATAGTTCAAATTGATTTTTTTTTCTTTTTGGTGTTTTCGATGTAAAAGAAAAACTAATCAAAGTAAAATTATAATTTCTTGCAACCATGTACTCTTATGACTGCCATGACTACTCTTTCATTACAATTAAAGTTTTTTCCCTCCCATTTTTGAAATCTTTAATTTCATAAAGCGACCAAAACTAGCACTTTTCACCAAATGTGAAGATGTAGGCATGTAGCACTGCAAGCAAGGCAGTGGCGGATCCAGCGGAAGGGGGGGGGTCATGGCCCCCCAAAATTGAAAAAAAAAAATAAAAAAATTAATAATAATTTTTTTAATAGTTTACAAAAGAAATATTTTAAGAATTATTTAAGGGGGCATATACACCTAGGTAGGTCAGAAAAATCGATTTTTTTTCCAAAGTCAAGATTTGACGAAGTTTCTAAAAAACGCATTACATTTATTATTTAAAGATGTTGAATACTTCAATTATTTTATTGTTCTATTGTTCATTATGAAAAAAATAAATGAGAAGACTAGGATTAAAAACCCCAGTTTTTCTTTTTTTTCCAAAAAAAATATTTAAAAAAAATTTTTTTTTTTTTAATAACTGGGGGGGGGGGGGGAATCTGAGTCTATGACCCCCCCCCGGNGCCAGGAAAAATTTCTGGATCCACCCCTGAAGCAAGGGCCAGAGCCCTCTAGTTAATAAACAAATCTGGAAAATGTAAATGAATTAGAAAGAATGCAACTTTGAATAAATTAAGTTATATAATAATAATTTATAATGAATACCTGCTTCAACAGCATGAACTAATTCAGTGTCGTCAAATTCTAATGCAGGCTCAAAATCACAGCTATGATCTCCTGGGACACTGTCACTACTTGAAGATCGAGATGATCCTTCTAAAATATAAATATGTAAAAAATTTTAGCAACTATCAGGGTTGGGTATTTGCCGTCAAATACTGGTTTTTGACATGACAGTGGTAAAAACTGTCAAAAACCTACCGTTTTCTTTAATTTATGGCATGTAGTGGACAATATATTACTTTCACTTTATTGCCTTTATAAATGAATGTTTCAAATGATTGCTATTGATTTTGCAACGATATACATGTATTCTTATAGAAGGGTATACATTCATACAGAAATATTGTAACATACTTATTGAAAATAGTGATACTTAACTTTTATCATTATAGCTTGATTTGCAAAGGATTCAAAATTTTGCACTTCTTAATTGTTAGAAATAAACAAACAAACAAAAAAACTTGGAACTATTAATAAATTCAAGAACTAAAAAGAAGAATTTAAAATTTGGCATTTCTTAAATATTAGAAATAAGCTAAACAAAACTTTCAAAACTTGTAACTACTAACAAACTCTAAGTCAAGAATGACTTGACATTCTTCAGTAATGTAATATGCCAAACAAAATGATGCTTGGAAATGTTGAAAATTTTGTTTAGTATCCTAATATTTTACTTCAAATAGTATGTTTTGATATAATCATGTTGGGAAAATGCAAGAATCTGTTCTTAAATATCTTTTAACAACTTTTTTTCTAATTTTATTGCCCAAAAATGAATTAATTTTAAATCATAAGCAGTTAAACTCAAATTAAAATACAGTTTTATCAAAACTATGGGTTTTTGACAGAGGGTTTTTTGACATGACAGTAAAAACCATGATATAAACCTGTAAAAACCGTCATGTGTCAAAAACTTGCCAACCCTGGTTATAATGTATACAGGGCTATAAATTGAGGGTGGTCCGTTGATCCAGGTTCACTCAAATAGGACTCGGACCATCATAAAATAGATTATCAGTGGTCCTTCAAACCAGCAATCGATGTAAAAGAAAGGTATGCTGCTTTTTACTTTATTTACTTATTACCTTTACTTAAAAAATAGTACATTTCCAGGAATCTGTACAAGCCAAATTTACTACTGTTTAGCGGTATCTTCACAAATTCAACTTCAGGAAAAACGGTAGTTTCACAAAATACTTTTTCTGAAAATTTTATTTTTGTGTCTCATAAGAAACGATAAATCCATACTTTTGGGTTGATTTTTTAATATAACTTGTAATTTTTCACTAATTATGTCTAAATCTTCACAAAATAGGTACCTCTCAGAAAAACCTAGACAGACCCCTGATTTCATCATAAGTGAGAACATTACACATTCTCTGCATTGTAACATTTCATTTGAATTCAGTTTATTGAATTATTTTTAAAAACAATCTCTTAAACATATACAAAAAAACCAATGAAAATATGTACAAACTAATAATATCTTTCAATTACTAGTCATTTGAACCAATAACTAATTTTTTTCAATTTTAACCTTTGATATATATATTTCTTCATTATTATGCTGCACAGAATGAGATTTGATTTTAATAAATATGTATAAAAATTTACAAGGACAGACCGCAGATTCCATGGGTTCTAGGACAAAAGTTTTTATACTTTTATATTTTGTAAGATTTCTGAAGAAAAAAAAATACTTTTTGAAAATCGTAGTTTACATTTTGAGTTTATTCACAACAACAATTTTCATTAAACATACAAAAATGATTTATTTTCACCTATTTACATATTAAACACATATTATTATGACTTAAATGTTATTTACTGTTAGATCCAAATTTGTAGAGTCAATGTATGGGTACAATATTCAATAATATATATTTTAACATTAAAATAATAGATAAAAGGTCAAGAAACATTTGTAAAGCCAAAGTTAATCATCATATTCAACACGTCAATTATTTAAAAGTCACTCAACTTAAAATGTTAACATGAGAACTTTAAAACCCGATATAAACAGTTCAAAGTTAAGATTAAATAGGGTGACCTGGGGTAATTCCTGATCAAAAAATGCAAACATCTATTTTGAGAGAAAACTATTCAAGATAGAATTTTAATATTTTCTGGAAGTTTGAGTCTATATGAGATGAGTCCTATGCTACCTTCTTTTGTTTGAAAATCTAATTAGAATTGAAAAGATTTTAAATTTTTAGTGAACAGGAATTACCCCTTCTCTTGATCATTTCTGGGGTAATTACTGATCACCAGTTTTTATAGATGGGCTGTTTAAAAATAATTATAGAATGGTAATTAACAAATAAGACATTAAGATCAAACAAATAAATCAAAAAGACATGTTTAAGCAGCTAATAAAACTGTTTATTTAAAATCAGGAATAAAGATTAACACTTCAACTCTGGCAGCAGCTCTCACACTGAAATTTTCATTTTCAATCATTAAAAGAAATTCACTATTTTTGCTTTCTAGAAGCTTAGTATCCTTTTTAAGCTTATAATTTCTCACCATATTTATATTAGGTTAATTTATCAACTTAAAAATTATTCTAACAATGTACACACATAAATTTAAGATAGAAGCAAGGTAAGACAAGCTAGAAATGGTGCATATCAGAACACATTTTTCTTGTATACAGTTAAAAACAAATTTTGTGATTATAGTTAAAATATATTTTATAGTTGTTCCACTTAATAAATATGAACTGTTATTTAAGAAAAGACAATTGACTATTTATTAGCTATTTTTTATACTATTTATAAGAAGAAATGACAATGATCAGGAATTACCCCAGTGATCAATAATTACCCCATCTGTAGGGGGCAACATTTGATATAGTTTCCTATAACCAATTATAATGTTTACAGTAGCTGTGAAATAATTAAGCAAAAGCCTACACTATTTTTATATCAAAGAAAAAGAAAGTAACTCAAAATATTTATTATTAAGAGAAGGAGGTGGGATCTTTACAGAAATGTGCACATTTTGAAACCCATCTTTGAAATGGAAAATACACAAAGCATTTTAAAAGATACTTATTTTGCTAGATTAAACAAAAAACTTTTATTAAGTAAATGTAGTTATACTTTAGTAAAGTGAACAAGCATTCTTGTCCACGTCTCAAATTTTAAAAAAATATTATTTCTTTAAATAAAACTCAGGTGATCATTATTTACCCCAGAAACAGAGTGATCGTGAATTACCCGGGGTCACCCTACCTCCAATTGATTTTAGGATTATTTATTTAAAACCTTCTATTGAATTATAAAGGAAGTAAAGCTTAAGAATTGCAGACTAATTCAGTTAGAAAAATTTTTATTTATTACTGCAGCAGTAAACACTATCCTGGAATTAACTATTATATCTAGAATCAAGTACATGTAGGAAAAGTAATAAATATAAACCGATATCTTAATTATGAATCATAATTTATGATACCATCCATGATGGATAGAGAGTGAATATGTCCTCCCTCTAAAACGGGATTTGACGAGAGTGATATGTATGCTGTCTCCAGATCATCCTCAAGGATGTTTTTCAGACCATCGCCAATAGCTCATTATGCATCTCTAGTGCAATGTAAACAACAACAAAAAGTACCTATAAGCTTTATAATTAGGATAAGCTCAAATTCATGGATTAAATGAAGACTTAAAAAACTATGACTAAATGTGTATGAAAACATTTCCAGTAATGTTAACACTAGAATGAATAGTTTTATCATTAAAAAAAAAAAATTGTTTACCTAATTTACATAAAAAATTTCGAAATTTGAACAAACATCCTATAAATTTAAGAAATATTATACTGATCTATTGTTTCAAATAGATTTTCATCAGTAATTCTCGCATGCTAGCAGATTTTTCATTAAATTTTTCTTATTTCTCATAAAAGCATTTTAAAAACAAATTATTAAATCATTAAATACTACAGCAATTATTTTGCCAATTTCCAATCAATAATTTCATTTAAAATTTTAGTAGCAATATTTTATGAAATTAGTAAATTTTCTAGGGAATAATTATTAAAAATGCGCAGACAAGACCCCTTACTGACAATTTAAAGCATCAACTATTTTTGTTAAAAGATTAATTTTACAATATATATATATATATATATATTACCTCAGAGCAAGACAAACGTGAAAATATTAAGCTTAGATTAAAAAATTTGAAACAATAAAAGAAATATACACACACAGAAATAAAATTTTAAACTTCAGCATACACAAAATCCTTAACACTCTGGTTAGAAAAATTTAAATTGAATAAATCAGTGCTAGTAAAATTTATATAGATTAATTTTTATTACAGTAAAATTTGACGGTTTACCAACTGAGATACAAAATAAATTCAATATTTTACAGTAAAAGAACACTACAACTTCTCTTAAATGGAATAGATACTCAACGATATTGATCTATCTTCTAATTTTTAACAATATAATTAAATTAGCGTGTTTGAAACGTAAGACATCGATAATTCAATTAAATATTATAATACAACTGTCTGAAATGATCGCGATAATACAATTTACTTACGTGACTTTCTTATCAACTGCAAAAATCACTTATAGAACAACAACAAAAAAAGGTGAAAATGAGCTTAAAATGATTAAGTTAGACCATTAGTTTCAACTTTCATCTATAGTTAAGTAATATTACACGCAAAAATTTCACATTTAATAGAATTAGATTCCACAACGCCTACCTGATAGTCTACGTTCAGTTCTTCTAGATCTAATATCAGAATCACTTTCATCCATTTTGAAAGATAAACCTCGATAATTCTACATAATGTCAATTTGACAATCGAAGAATAGAAAGATAGCAAAAATCCAACGTTTCTATAAATTTAATTTACATACTTTTACAAATTTACAAGTAATATCATTCTTAACAAACATTTTATAGTGTTCTCTTCCATTTTGTTATTTGTTTTTGTTCTATTTCTCGATTGCGCTGCAGCCAAAATTGATGTCATTAACTTCTTACAGCTTCCGGTCTTACATATTTTATATGTAAGTTCAAGATCATGACGTAATTCTCATTAAAATTATTATAAACAATTATTATATCGCTGAAATCCCGGCAAATAGTAAAAATTATTTCAAGGGTGATAAATTGGGTTAAGAAAACTAGATCTATATTCGCCTGCTAGATCTATATAGCCTACGCGATATCCATTTATGATCCATATAAGTTCCATTGGTATTGATTGTTATGACTATTAGTTTCTCGTAGTGATTAAAGGTTAACTTAATAATCTAATCTAAAAAGTTAAATGTAAAAATAAAGTAAGTACCTTTGATAAGATGGTTTCGAGGGAGTTTTGATGCAAAAACTAAATAATGAAAACAAGACCTACGAGTGTAGCAGATGTTTAAACAGAACCAGGTGCATTATTATTATTGCTTTATGAATATAAATCACAGTTTTCTCTGTTTTGTGAATTTAAAACATCATTCATGAGTTAGTTTTCAGTTTTTCAAGATTTGATACAAAATATTCAATAGTTCTAAAAAGATAAAAACGTATTTTATTGAACGCATATCTAATTTTTGATAAAGACTCTGCTTGGCTGATAATAACAAAAAGAGCTAAAGATAAAAATATAAATACAACTGTTATTGTATAAACTTCTTCCTTGAAGGTTTTTCTTGTTTTAAACTAAACAATTCTAAAGATGCTGAGTTATCTTTGGGGTCAATGGTGAACAATACCAACTATTCCAAAGCAGTTCCAAAGTATGCTCAGTGCAGAAAAATCGGGGCGATCTTGGGACAAAAAAGCCTACTTTTGAAATTTATTATAATTATTTGTATTAATTTACTACTGGTGGTTTTTGGAAGATTATTTATTTGAAATTGTGAATTAAAAACATTTGAGGATTTATGAATATGTATAACGCTTGCTAGGATCCACGCTACCGAACCCGAACCGGCGCCAAGGAGAGTAGAAGTTGGCCTTTTCAATGGATACGGCATGATTTCCGCCTGTTATTTCACCTCTTATTCGAAGGAAATGCAAACAATCTAATCTGGGCTCAACTATTACATTTGACAATTATATTTTATGTATTTTAAATACGATATGTAGTGCTATGTCTGAATTAAAACCAACCACGTGAAATGAAAAATTTTTGAACAAAAATTATATTTTTGATTTTAAAGCTACTTAGCCAAACTTGCTTTAAACTGTAACTGTGTTTTGCTGAAAACTGTAAGAATTTGCTGTAAATAGTGAAAATTCTTTAAATGACGGGGATGTGTAGAAAAATGTAAGGAATATGATGGAATAAAAAAAATTTAAGATTCGGTTATTGGTTTAAGAACTATCATTTGTTAAACTTGTAGTACTCTATTTTATAAACTGACGCTTAACTTGATGTCAAAAGTAACAAAACTCAGAAGAGAATCGTAAAATTAATAATGTTTTCAGTAATAAAACTTATCATTTAAATAAAAATTTTCAAAATATATAAAAGACTTAGGAGAGATAGAAACCGCTTACGATTTGAACTGTGTTATGAGATAAGGTTATCGTTTTATGTTGTTAAGGAATAAAATTACTTCTCATTTTTTAATTGATTTCCATACAACAAAATGGGTTATATGTGGCGCCGAGCAGAACTTTCTATCGATAACAAAACTTCGCATGTTTACACCTTTAGCGTGTGGATAGTCAGAGGAGAATGAAGTCAGTTTCTGTCCGGACTTTTAAGTCAGGAAACTATATAGAACTGAAAACTGCATTAAACATAGTTTTGAGAAAGCCGTATAAATTTTAGAAAATATTTTTGACAGTTAAATATGAAGAAAAAAAAAATACTATGCGTAGCAAGCCGTGACCTATAGTAGCCATAAAAAAGTACTTTGGCTTTGACTTCAGATCCAGATATATTTGTTTATATTATTATTATATTATAGTAGATTTCTCGTCTGATTCTTCTTATTCCTGTAAAATAAATTCTTATGACTAAACCCTTGTACTACAATCACTTTTTATTTTTGAAAAGAAAAAAAAAAAAAGAAAATCTACCCATGTTGGCTAAGCGTGGCATATACATCTCGTAAATTACGAGAATTGTTATCTTAAACAAGACTGTTTTCACAACAAGCAAATGTTTTTATTCTTTTTAAAATCAAGTAGTAACTAACAGAAAAAAATATTCCTCTAGTTAAAAAAATAACCATTTTTTTTAATAGGAGCTTTTTTTTTAACCTAAAAGTAAAAATTTAACCTAAAAATCAAGTTGAAGTGGGACTGGGATTTATCTGAGATGCGCTATTGTAATACAGTAATCAAAGTATGAAACAATTTTATGAAAAAATTATAATTATTAGCTATGTTCTTTTACAAAATATATTTATTTAAATAAAAAATTTGAACAAAATAAAAATCATTATTATTAATGTCAAACTAAAACGGTTTTTAATGTCATTTAAGTTCTCGATAATAATTCTCGAAGTAGCACGTTTACATCTACCTTTCTATACTTTATCAGACATTTATTCTTATTTTTAATTTTAACGTCGCATATTTTCTAGATAACTTATCTTATATAATGCACAAGATAATGTGTCATGACAAGATTGCGCTCCATTGTTTGGTTTATTATAAAACAAGTAGAAATGATTTGTTCCATTGTTCCACGAGAAAAGTGCCGAAAAAAGTTTCATTTTAACATCCAATATTCAGCAATTGAGACAGATAAGATAGACTGGATATAATACATTCATAGGAGCTAATTATTTGATAATAATTAAATTAATATGAATGACATTTTACAGCTTTTTTCCCGTACTTCCAACTTTAGAAAAAGGGAGAAAAAATTAAAAACGATTTTGAAATCCACTGCTGTTGAAAAGCTATCTTATATCTTTCACACACGTAGTTTCTAATTTGGGAATTATAATGATGCGTCCTCCTATTTATAAAGTTGATATTTTTTACATCAAGCAATTCTTTAGTATTGTTTCGAGATAAATACCATAAAAGTTTCCAGAATTTTCACTCGATAACAACGCAATACACACAAACATCTGCCTACTTTGAAATCGTAGCGTTTTCACTAAAAACGCTGCACAGAAAAATTTAAAATTTAGGCTTATCATTAAATTGCTCAAAACCTTCAAATTTTACCATATTTATGTAACTCGTTGTCGTATCTGTTAGTGGCAAACCATGGATTCTAAATTTCCACAACATTCCGACTAGATTGAGTGCTAAAATTTCAATTAAGGCTCAGTTCTGTAGGATAATGTGAGTTTCAATCGTTTCCTATTCTTTACAGGCAGAATTATTTACTACTAATTGAAATTTAAACCCTTTTCAGACTAGCTAGAGTGCTCAAATTTCTATTATATTTCTGTGCTATGCTGTAGCTGATAATAGTTCAAGTTTCAGTCAAAAAAAACTTTTTTTTTTTAATTTTATTACCTTGTACTAATTAGTCATCGCTTTATACTCTGAAAATTCAAAATAAAGGAAAACTGAAAACTAAATATAAAAATATTTGTAAAATCGATGAAAGTGATAAATGGAATAAAAGGAATAAATTTATCTACCATGACAAAATTAGCTTTTAAAATAAGAGATCCGATTACGTATACGTTTATCACTAAATGCGTATTCTTAAATTTTCTAAAACATAGTATTGACCGGAATTAGAATAGTACTTTGGTTTTATTATTGAAGTAAAATTCATAAAAATAAATTAACCAAAAAAATATATTAACTAGCCATCCAGTATTTTTTTTTTAAACATTTTGCATCTGGTGGAATTACTCTGCCGAAATTAGAAATAACTTTTAGAAATAAATTAAATGTAATTCAACCTATTAATTCAACTGTTTTGGTTGTTAAATTCTTATTATTATTTAGAGTTCTGGCTCATGCGAACCATAAAGAACTAAATTTAACTTCGTCATGTTGAAAAAGTGCTAGTAGCAAAATTTACAAAATTTCATTAAATAGGGACCACTTGGATCAGTCTGCGTAGGGACCGAGGGTGTGCGGTATTGGTCCTCGTTAAACTGTGCTACCGTAAAGTGCTCGACTTCGCGCGCAGGTCGTCGGGCTACCGAAGCGGGGGTGCCATCCCTTCCGCAGAGGATCAAAATTGTGACGGCATGTCTTCGGATCATCCTCCGGGATGTTTCCCAGACCGTCGCCAATAGCCCATTGTGCAGCTCTAGTGCGACTTAAAGTAACAACAACAACAACATTCATTAAATAGGCATACGCAATTATGTAACTACCTTTATTTTTCTGAAGTATTATTCCGAGCGTATTAATTATACTTTAAATGTCCTGAAAAAATTGTTTTACAATATTTTCAAAAGCTTTTTATTAATTTTTGCAGAAAAGGGGGAAGGAGGGAAATGAACCATGCTTACATACGAGATTAAAATCTCCTTTTTTTTCAAAATTTTTCTAAAAATCACAGTTAGAATGTAACGTCAATTTTATGTTAATAGTTGAATTTGAGCAAGTAAAAACTGGAAAAAAGATTAAAAAATTCACCCGAAGAGTTTTGAAGATTATGAGTTTAAACACAAAAGCACTACATAAAATATTCATTGATAATGTACACAAAATTTTAGTTCAAAATGAATTTAAAAGCAAATTTTGTTTTATGCAAAAATGCATCTTTTATTTGAATTTGATTCGAAAATTAGAGTACTACAGTAAAAGTTGTCAGATATAATTGTTACAGAAAGTAGAATTAGAGGACGGATGATTGATTAGAGTGTAAAATAGCATTTGATTAAAATATCTATCAGGGATTAATACAATTAAAAATATTTAATAAACTTTAATAAAACTGAACTCAACAAGATAGCGTTAAAAAACACGTGGCACTTACATGTAATTATGGCATTAAACGATCCAGACAAACAATGAATTTTTATTATCGAAAAGTTCTAGAGTCAGTGCATCAGTTTTTCGAGTTGAAAAGAGAGACAACAATAATAATCGTCAGCTATCGCAGGGTGCTACGTTCGTTAATTACTTAGCATTCGAATTTTAAAATTTATTTTAAAATGCTAATAGTGTTCAATAAGTGTGTGTAATAGACAAAATAGTGTTCTTAAGAAAATGCCATAAAAACCATAAACGCAAGTCTCTGAAATTAGAGAATCCTAATAAAAAGATGAGTCTGAAAAATAGGGACAGTGGGACGCTACTCAGATATAATTCCCTGGCTTTTGTTCTTTGAGGGTAACTAATGGAAAGAAAATCAAGGAAAATATTTGGATGGAAGATACTGAAAATTATGTTTCTTTCACCATTCTTTTTTTGGCAAGTTTCAAATTTCTACCACATTGCTCAAACTGTATTTGCGCTCCAAACTGAGCTGGTGCAACTGGCGAGGGTCAGCCCTGCCACTAGCACGGTACATCATTGGATGGCATGTCTTCAAATCATCCACTGGGATGTTTCCCAGACAGATTGTTATTCAGACCAATAGCTCTAGTGCTGCGTAAATTAACAACTACAACTACTGAAGTGTTGCACACCAACAAGTGAAATATGATTTCTAGTAGATCACAGGTTTGTTGCCCAATTGAGAACTTCATTTACAATCAATCTTGCTCAATTAATATTAAATTCTCATATCAATCTATACGTTCTTGAGTTGCTAATTTTGGATTGGGACTTCCCTTTTCGAGCGGATTCGACTTTCCGCAAAATGCTTTGTAGCGGGCTCGAATCCCGCGGTATTCCTGATGTATATCTTTGTAATGTCTTTCTCTAATTTGTACTATCAATTCTTCAAACTGACAAAGTCATAAGTCGTATTTGTAACGAGCGAACATAACTGCGTGTAATAATAAATAAATTAAAATTTGAGATTTTGAGATAAACTAAGCATAATCCAAACATAGGAAAATAATATTACCAAAAATTTGAAGATATATTTCTTTGACATAGCCTTGAATATTCACCAGTACCATGATGCTGTGTATGTATATGAGAGAAAGAACACTTAAGGAAAAATAAATACATAGTTAATTGTGGTTAAAATGAAGGTTGATTGAAATACTAAATGATCTTATAAACGAACTTCAGAACATTTTTCAATCTATTTTGCAAAGTTTCGAGGAAATAATATTTCTACATTATTCAGGATTTCAAGATAAATGAAACAGGACACAAAAGTATAACAAAACAAAAGAAGTTAAAAATTACTGGCGACATTTTTTTTTAATCACTGAAAAACGCTGTAATGTAGTACGTTATCTTTAAATTGATAAATACGTTTTATTGAGTCACAATGACGAGCAATAAATGTGTTCCATTTTTTCTGACAATATTTCTTCGGTTATGTTCAATTAGCACACCAATTTTTCAGCTGATAATCTGATAAAAGAATTTTATCTGAAAAGCAAAAAGAAGAATTCATGGAGGGTGGTATTTCATATCACAGCTTTGCTATTCCTTTTTTCACCTTCGAAATTTCTCTTCTAGTTTTGATGATCAAATTCAAAATTTTTACAAATGAAATTTTTAGTAATTTTTAGCATAGAAAAAATTTCTTACATTTTTTTTTCTTTCATTCTTTATTTTATATCATATCAGTAATTATTCTAAGTAGGGATGTAAATTTATTGATTGATTTGCTTCAATTTAAAAGGATGTATAGTGCAAGGAAAAAATAACACTTTTGGAAGCTTTTAATTCAATCTTCGCATTCATTATCATTATGGTTTGGGATCTTGACGTAAAATATGCAAACTAATTTGTACAGACGATAATTTATTTCGTGAGATCAGACATAAAAGCACACTTTCTGTGTATATATATATACATATGCATATATACCTTCTTTTTTTTCTTTTTTACGAATTTAGGGGGATTCCTATCCTACCCTCAAAATTTGGGAGAGGGAATTAGCCGTAATCTGGAACATATACTTGAAATAGTAAACTATTTCATAGAACATTCATTATAGTAGGTAGGTAGGTACTTTATTTCGTCGTATTAAAGCAATTTTTAATTTCGCCATGATTCCGTGGAACTAAGGATAGGAATTTTTTAAAAAATGCAAACAATTAAAAAACTTGTTTAGTTTAAGACAATTTCATGCAAAAATAGTTTTTTTTTATATAATTATTTATTATTTTTTATTAATTAATTTACTAATGGTTGAAAAAATTTTGATTTGTAAGGTTTTCAAATGTTTACACCAACTAAATCTATGTAATTTTAAATTATAAAATCCGACATTTGATTCAGACGGTACTTGCATAGCATTTCTTAATATATTAAAAATATAAAAGCAGTGCTGTATTCGTTCTGTATTAATATTTTTTATTGTTTATATTTAATTTACATAAATTTTTAATTACTCCTAACATCATTTCTCAATTAGTAGAAGTATTTTTAAAACAGCATATGAAAAATTCTCAAATGTTGCGCTCTCTATATAAGTAAAGCTTGGTTTAGTAATGTAATAAGTCCCTTCTTTTCAAACGGTGACATTTTTTTACTATAGCTGTTTCTCAATATTGTTTCCAGATAAATAATTTTCGAGCTTCTGGAATTTCCCCTAGATATGCATAATAATAACTATCATTACCCACGAAAAAATCATGGTGCTTTTCAGCATGAATGAATTTAAAATACGCCCTCCTGGACAATTTGATTATGTGCCTTTCCATGACATTTTCCCAAACTTTACTTAATTACTAAGCAAGATAAAATTGTGAAGGCAGTCTTATGATCACATAAATAAACGAAGATTGGGTGTGCTATAAAGGTGTTATACCTTTTGCCCTGGGTGTATATAGCGAGCCACGCGATGGGGAATTAAACTTATGCCCCTTTCAGGCAAATGCCATGCAAAAAATATGTTATAAATATAAAAGTTTCATTGTGATAAATAATAGAATAGAGCAAAATAACTCTTAACTATGAAATTATTATTATTATTATCATTTTTTGTTGCAAATAATAAACCAAGAAATTGTTTCACACTTATTTTCAATCAAATTTATTCTTATTTGATTCATCAAAATTGTTATAAGTTTTAACTATTTTTCTTTTTCTTTCTCTGTATATTAAAAAATCGTAAGAGAGAGAGAGAGACATTTGGTTTTTATTAATCTTACTAGCCCCATCAAAATATCCAGTAATTATTTTCTTTTAATTTTTTTAAATCTTTTAATAAATGATAAAGGAAATTATAAAATAATAATAACGAAATCATTTTTTTATAGAAATTTGTTCTTTTGAAGAATGATTTTTGTATTATTTCCCAATAAATAACATTGAACATTTTTAAAACCTATTCTATAAACTATTTTCTATAAATAATTAAAAATCATAAATTGTATGTTTAATAAACAATTTATTTAGCAGGTATTTTTCAACCTTAAAGATAAAAAAAATAATAATAATAAATAAAATTTGATAGCTTCTGCTTGAAACGAAAACTTCACTTAATCTTTCGATTTCGATTAGGGATTTTTAATTTTATATTTTCCCCTGATAAACATTTTTTCCCTAATTTTTTTACTTGAGAAAATTTGTTTTGGCAACACGTTCTACCAATTCATCTCGCTTATACTATTTAAACTCAATAAACTGTTCGAAAGTTTCAAATTCGAATAGTGAGTTATTGTTAAATGAAAAATTACGTAATATGACTGAAACTGAACAAACGGAACGTTCTCGATGAATAATTCTGATTTTCCGTCCAACTCTCCTCCTTGTGTTTACCTTCGTCAGATTAGCCGCTTTGTTTATATTTTACGATTGCCGTATATCCTTTGAAGAAGATATTGTGCTAGTAATTGTCAACAATAAAGATTATCAACTATCTAAAAGTTTTGGATTTAATCTTCAATTTATTCTCTTAATTCTTTATTTCTCTTATCGACTTCTGATAATAAGTTGTAGCGGAAGATGATTTTAGGGGGTGGACGATTGTGAAAAATTAAGTTTTGTTTTTTTATTTTAAGAAAGAATGGATGGTGTTTGCGAATCAAAATTTTGGGTATGTATAAAATCAAACTGTCCGCTGTATATTTAATTTAATTTAATGCTAATTTCTTGTGATGTTTCAAGAACTTACCAGAAATAATTTCATTACGAAACGATATTGGTTTTATATAAAATTTTTATGTTCTTATAGCATGCTTTGTCATTTTGTCACCATAAAATACTCAAAAAATTTATTACATTTTGCTCAGAGTGAATTTTTTTATTGTGCAAAAATTAAATGTATCCTTGCTGGGTTAAAAATTGAAATAACATTAAACTAACTTTATTTCATATATTCTAATAAAATACGAACATACTTCTGTAATACAAAAAATATTTGTGTAGTAGCAAACTAATGATTTAAAATATTTCTTTATAAATTACATGCACAATTTTAAATCTATTTTTTTTTTAAATCATGAAAATTCAAATCTGTTAATTATTGTAATAGCATGAGTAAGCATTTTCTCAGAAAAAGGATGTTTTTGATAATTTAAGTAGCCTTAATTTGGTTAGGCTAAGGCTAATTGAAGTGGCCTTAGTTTGCAATTTTTTTGGTGGAAGAATTATGTTTCTCATTGTTATGTCACTTATTATTTCATTATTATTATTATTGAACTGTTATTGCAGTTTACATTATTTCACAGAATGCCCTATTGTGCTTTTGAAATTCGAAAATCTTTAATTTTAATTATAAAAATTTGAAACTATAATTTATATTAGTATGTTTATATTTTTTAGTATTTAGTATTTTTTTTTAGTATTTAGTATTTTTTCTTAAGAAGAATGTTTTGGTAGCATTCATTTTGGGAGCATCTTTCTAATTGCTACATTTCTTAATATTTTTTAAACAATTTCTGATGTTTATTTACAGAATATCCCCTGATTCTTTTAAAGTACTTTTTCCATTTATTTTATATTATGAAAATTTATAATTAATATTGGTACAGGTAGATATATTTTCAGATTATTTTTTTTTTTTTGAAAACATTTAAAAAAAATATTTTTTAGCAATAGATTAAGACTTTTATTACTGTTTTATACTTATAATTAAAAATTTCATTATTCATTTGAACTTTTTTTTTGGATATGAGACATATTAGTTGAATCATTCATCTAAATACTAATAGTAACACTCTTTCAATCTAGTTTGTTCTTTTATTTCTGATTTTTTTTAGCATGCAGGATAAAAAAAATAAATAAATAAATGGTGCATTTATCATTGTGATCCTATATTTAAAACAACTTAAATGTTATTTTATATTAAATATTTCATTTAATATCTAATTTGATAATTATTATAAATGTTATATACCTATATTATCAATATTTCAAGTAAAACCTGTACAAATGTCTTTATAAACTTTTATAATGATATTTAAAAACGGGAACTTATTGAGTTTTTTAAGCCAGTCTTGAGTAGCAAATATAATCAAAATTTTACATTTATAAATTCATTTGCTTTTCTGTTTTTATAATAGTTATGCATCTATTATTACACTGTTAATTGAGAACAGTCAACAGCCAATGTTATTATCAATTGTTATATGTTACTGTCAATATTATTATATGAGTATCTTTATATATTAAATTTTGTTGCTTTAAACATAAAGTTTGTTATATAAAACATTTTAACCTGAAAGTGCTCACTCTAAATAAACTGTGATATGAATATCACATAGGCTAAAAGTTCGTTTTATGTCAATATAAATTTAATTAACATCATAAAATTATAATAAAATATATATTTTTTTTATTATAGTTTTTTAAAAATGTATTATGTGTAGTATTATGATTTGCCTTTATTGATATCAGTAGGATTCACGTCGGCATTGCGACTATTGTTATAAAATGTTCTTTAAATGTTGTTAAAATCATACACTTGGGGGAAAAATATGTCTCTTTAAAATATGTTAGCAATTTACAAAATTGTAAGAAAAAAAAAAGTTTTTTAGCATCTAATGTGTAAAATTAATTATTTATTAAATAATTATCAATTAATAATTTTTAAATGCTTTCCATACACTTAAAAAAAATTATACTGATTTTATTGTTCTATGCTTGGTATGGAATTCCAATGTGTGGTATTCAAATGAAATAACGGAAAGTGCCTGTAAGAATTTTTATAAATTTAAGCATTGAAATTTAAAAAATACATATTGTGTTGATGTGCTTTTCATTCATGTACTGACAGTATAATTGCTCATCAATTATTTTTTGCTCTTTTAAAATTGACTTTATTTAAAATTTTATAATTTTTAGATAAATTAATTTTTAATATAATATTTTGTTAGTTCTTTCTTTTTCTGTTTTCCTCATTTAATTTTTGCTTTGGTTTCACCATTTTCATCTCGAATGTGAATCTATTTACTAATATTATTTTAGCTTTTTGGCACTTAATTTCAATAAATACCAATCTTCAATCATCATGGACTAATGAACCTAATTAGTTAGGGGTTATAGATGGCAATTAATAATGTTTTATGTGTATCATACCATAAATTACGTAATTGTAAAGTTAGATTTTTTTTCTCTATTTTGCCTACAATATTAAGTTTTCAGTGTACTAAATGAATACCTAGGTGCTCATATTGGACTACTAAACTTTCATTGCTGGTCTGAACCTTATTCTTCAAATATATTAACTATCATAAAAAATTAATTGCTCAGAGTTTTAATTTATTAGATTTTTGTCTGAATTTATTAAGTTTAGCTTTTTTCATCAACTCTAAATTTATTTAAGAAATTTCCAAACAGATACTTAAAATTAGAGATAAATTGTTTTGGTTTTTTTTATTATTATTTTTAAATTTTTTTTTTTATGGGGTACCCAAGTCAATGGCAGACTCTGATAGAGAATTAATAATCAATTAAGACATTCTTAAAACATTATTAAGTGCAAATAATTCAGAAATGCCTAAAGCAGAATATTTACAAAAATTGATTTCATCTGAAATATGTTTATTGGTCACATACATGAAAGTTTTCAAAAACAATATAGCTATTGGGAAATATATTGATACTTTAGAATAAACACAAAGGGGGGGGGACTCTTGTACTTGTGATAAGAAATTGTGTGCTTATATTGTATTTTTATATTCAGTTTGATTGAAGCATTTAAAATGTATATAATTTTTTTTTTCAGGATCCCTCCTTAACATGGAACACTACAGTACCACTTTTTACACCATGTTTCCTAAAAGTTGGTTTAATATGGGCGCCAGTCGCATTTTTTTGGCTGTTCATTCCCTTAGAAATTTATTTTATCTCAAAAACAAAAAAGAAATCAATACCATGGTCTGTTCTCAACATTTCAAAATTGGTATGATTTTTAGTAATTAATTTGTTATTTTTAAAGAATGCTAACCAGTTACTATGTTTTAATAGAGTTTGAATATTTTGGTGCATAGTTTTCTTGCAACTTATTAGTCCAAGTGCAAAGTATTTAAATACAGTGAAAATGTATCATTTTAAGCAGTATAATTTTAATGTGTACACAAGTAAAATTTCAAATACTGTGGAGAATACTGTTCAGGGTCATCAAGAGTACAAAGAGTGTTCAAATGAGAGATTGCACATAACGTTAATATACTTAAGTGAAAAGTGTGAGAATCTTCTTCTTCAGTTGCACATTAGCTCTGGGTGGGCCATTTCTGAGCCATTTTCAGAAGTTTTTCCCAGACATCTTGATTTGGAGACTGTGCTTCAATTTTTGGTTATAAATAGTTTTTGGCAGTTTCAATCTTCCTACATTCTGACCAGATATATAACAGATCCATTTTATCCTTTGGATTTTTAAATATTTCTCGACATTAGGCTTTTTAAAGTTTTTAGGTAATTCTAAATTAGTTTGCTTTTGCCATAAGCTGTCCACCCGAGTTCCACCACAAATACTTCTTAGAATTTTTCTCTGAAAAATTGACATCTCTGCATCTTTTGAGGTTAGAGAGCATGCCCCAGTTTGATTATAGAAATGTAAAATTGGTGTCTAAAATGTAGGCCTTCAATGAGAAAGTGTTTCATAGATAGTAATACCATATTCAGCTTATGTTGGAGGAAATTTTCCAATTCTAATTTATGCTGTATGACCAATTTGCAAATAAATCGTAATGCAATATTTACAATAATTTTTTACTTTTAACCATTCAGAAACTGTTCCAAAAACTCATTTTAAATTCTAGTCCCAAAAGAAACATGGAAGCTATTTTAAAATTATGTTATGTAGTTTTCCATTTTGTGATATGGCATGTCATTAATCAGATAAATGGTAACTTTTTTTGAAGTTTCTTTGTGTACCCTACCCTGAAATCCCCCTTGTAAAAACAGTCCTACAATTAAAAACAAAAAGGAGCAACTTCAGTTTTGGAGAGCACTTACATTAACTTTTACTTAAAAAAGAAAAAAAAAGAGCTTAGTAAGCAAAACTTTAATTTAAAATTATATATTAATAACTGTAAAATTTGAAATAATTAAACAAAACATTCAGAATTGCATATTTAGCAATTAAAAATTCATAAATCGAAAAAAAGTCTTTATCCTTACAAAAGTTTTGAAGAAAATTTTAATATTTAATATTATCTTCGTATAAAATTAAAATATTATTGCTTAAAAAAAGGCTATATTCAGAATCACTGTAAACCTATTCCTATCAACTCTCTTTAGCTCAAAATTCCAATTCTCTTTACATTTAATATTCAGTTTTTTTTAGGGTTTTGTTTTATTTATCTCCAAAAGGAAAGATCAACTTGTTTGGTAGAGTTTTAAATCTAAAGTTAAATAAATATTTATAAATGTGCTGTCTTTTTTCTTGAAATAAAAACTGGAGTAAGAATTACAGTGCGTTTACAAAAAGAGTAAGGGAATGTCTTTGCTTGCCTCTTCATAAAGATAATCGTCTTCATTAAAGGGGTGGGCCATCCTTGAAACAATTTTTAGGTAGAACACTACTCTACCAACATGAGTTACAAATATTTTTTTCAGATGTATATTTCTTGAATACAAAATTCTGAAGGATAAGTTGCATTCAACTATTCAATGCACATTATTTTTTCACATGTAACATTTATGTTTTATTTATTTAAAATCTATTACACTAAAAGTTTGCCCAGCTTAGCTGCATTTGATAAGAATTTTTTCAAGGAAAATGTATGCTTTTAGTACTATTTTAAATTTTTTTTAAAATTTTAAGAGCTGGTTTGAGCATACTATTTAAATTACATATCTTCATATAACTACAAGGAAGTAGTTCCAACAATCTCTGTTTCTATAAATAAAATAAAAAAGTCTTATATCTTTGAAAAAACAGTGGTGGCTCAAGTTGGCATCCTTGTATTTTTGTTTTCTTTTTTTTAATATAATTTTTTTTGTGGAATTTTATCATTATTATTATTTTTTTACCTTTTCAGGTGATAATTTTTTTAATGATGGCTCTCACAATTGGTGACATGTCTTATCAAATGGTTCAATTTTCAAAGACAGGCCATGTTGCACCTTTTGAGTATTACACACCATTTCTTCTTTTTCTGACACTGGTTTGTAAATTATCTTACTTTTTCATTGCTTAATAACATAAAATTTTTGTTACTTATGTACATATTTTTATTTACAGGCTGTGAATGCTTTTGTAACACTATATCAACGAAAAAAAGGAAGGATTACTTCTGCCGTATTATCACTGTTTTGGCTTTTTGCTTGCATTGGAACTGCTGTTGGTTATTACACTTCATTACAAAAGCTGTATAATGAGGTTTGTTTGTTATTTAAAGTATAAATTTTAGGTAATTAAACTATTATTACTAAGAAGTTTAAGTTGTTAAAATAGTCACGATTGCTATCGAATTCAATCTATGAACAGGTCTTGCACTTGCAAGATTTCTTTTTCAGTGTTTGTTCTTAATGGTTTTTAATAAATGATCAGTAGTTGGTTGGAAGGGCTTTTGTAAATGAAATGAACCATTTTATTCACTATTTAAAAATTGCTAATATCGATCTTTTGATATGATTTTAAATTCTATAATTTGTTTTATTATTTTACTAACAACATCTTCATATCAAATTATTACTATCTCTTCTCTTTATTACAATTGGAAAAAAATCTGGTTTTCTATTTTTCTTAATACAATTTTGCTAGTCTATGTAATTTTTAATGAAAAAGTTTATTTAGAGTTGCAGTTGATTAGGATGCCACCATAGCTGGGATTTGTACTCGTGACTCCTTCCTTTCACTGCTAATGAGCTGGGGGTCATGAGTTCAATCTTGGTGGCGAACTAAATAATTGTCTTGTACACACAGCAAGAAGCATAGCTTTCATGCTTTAAAGTCCTGTTGGTGCAGAAGTTTAGAATGAGGTGTAACAACTCTGATGTTGGTTTCACTTTATCAGGGTCAAAATTTTGTGACTTTCTACCGGGATGGTCAAAAGTTAGAGGTGATTGGCCATAATTGTCTGCTGAGTTTGAGTTTATTTCTAGTTTAGTTAAATTATTATAATTAATCATTTTTTCATTATATTCTCATTCAAATATCTTTATAGTTATGTAGTAACTGTTTATTAATTTTTTTCCAAGATTGACATTAAATTGGTATTGTGATTAAGTTGAAATTTATCTGTACAATCTTTTAACTCTTTGGTACTATCAATTACTGTAGTTTTTATTAAATTGAGACCAAGTTCTAATTTTTTTTGTATTTTTTATTAAAAGAAATGTTTTTGCATTTTTTTATTCCTTTATAGAATCTTAATTTTGATGCAGAGTTTGAACAGTATCCTTTTACAATGTATGTGCTGTACTTTGCCTTTTCGTTTACTCTATTCGTGTTTCATGGCTTTGCAGATCTGAAGGAAAAAACTAGCGAAGTAAGAACTTTTGTTATATTTTTTGTTTTGGTTAAACTAATAAAGTATAATTTAAACTTGGTATTAAACCGGAGTATTATCTTGGTATTAAATCCTATTACCTAACAATAGGATTATGAATTCTTCTTGCAGCAGTGTGAAATTAAAGTTATAATTTTTTTCATGAACACCTTTTTGTTGTTTTTCTATTTCATGACCACATACTTCATATATGAATTGTAATTCTAATCAATTTTTGAAAATCAAACTTGACCCCCCCACCCCGCCAACTTTCCTATTTTCATTTTGAATAAAACTTTTCCTATCATGCAGAAACATCTTTTGCAGCACTATATCAGGCTCATGTTTTATTTATTTTCTTTTTTTATGAATTCATATCTTTTGCAACTCACACAAGCAGATTTTGCAATGCAGCCATATAAATCTTTTCATGTTTATTTTTCTTTTTTTGGGGGGGGGAGATCAAAATTTTTTAGATCATGTGTAGAAACGACTCTGGCCATACAGCCATATCAAGCTTATGTATTTTTTTTGGAACTTAAATCTTTTACAGTTATAAAGATACGATTTATAGTATTTCAATAAAATGTATTTATTTATGTATTTAAATTTTATTAAGTTATGACATTTAAAAAAATAATTGAATTTTAGATTAAACTATGTTATCTATTGTGACACAGACCATGAGCATTTTAATGGTGAAATAATTTAATTGCTTTTAAGTTGTAATTGTTTTTAAGTGAAAATTGTTTTTAAATAAATATTATATATCTGAGTTTTACGAAACCTTTCTAATTGCATATATATTTTTTGCAAAAACAGTTACTATAATTTTAGTATGTTAATTCATCATATGAAACTTAAAATGAAGCTTAAAGAATAAGTAAATACGAAAAGCAAAATTCATTTCATTTTGAAAGAAGTTATTTTAAGATTATTTTTTAAGAAGTTATTATTAGAAGTGTTGAGGCAGGTAAACTAATAGTTTAGTTGTCAGAACTATGGTTGTTAGTTCTAGGTTTTTTTTCTTTAACTACCCTATTTCAAAATTTAAAATGGATAATTAAACTATTGTTCTTATGTTCATAAATTATTTAATTTCAGAAGAATCTTTGAATTTTGTTGCTAATTTTTTTACCAAAATTTATTATTACATTTTCTTATGAAATTTAAATAAATAAAATATAATTTAGAAAAATGTTGAGTTAAAGCTTAATTTTTCTTTGTTGTGTAATTTGTTGCATTCAGTGTTAGAAATGTGACTATTGATAAGGTTATCTAATCTAAGCTGCTTTAATTTCTTTTGGATTATATAAAGTGTGAAATTGCTGTTAACAAAAGTGTGTTTTTTGTTTCTTATGATAAAAACTTATGTAATGATCTGTTACATGGCAAAGGCTTATATAAATAGCTTATGCTGACGCTTATATAAATAGCTCTTATGCTTAAAAAAATTACAAACTTTTTTTTAATTATTATTTTAAATATAATGTTTTTTTTTAATTTATTATTCTTTTTTTAAGTATTGCTGTTTATTCTGATTCTAAAGTGATTAAAGATACAAAAATTGCATAACGTGTTGTGTTTTAGGAATAAGAATTTAGTTTTTTTTCCAGTCTTCTCTTTTGGTTTAGTTTTTTTTTAGACTGTGAAAAAACTTAGTGATGATTTGTTACGTAACAAATAATATAAATGGGCAAAAGAAAAAATAAAATAAAAATAAACATGCTTGATTTTATGAGGAAAAATTTTATTATATCTATTGTAATCTGATGGAAAGCTTATATAATGGTCTGCTTCATACTATTAAAATATAAGATTTTTTTTTCTTGATTTGACAGTACGATATTATTTAAAGAGGATTCTTTTATATTTTGATAAAAAAGTGACTAAAGATATAAAAAAATTTTTTTTTAATGTCTGATTTTATGAGGAACAAGTTTATTATTGTCTTTCTTAATTTGTCAGAAAACTTACATTATGATCTGCTTCATAGAAAGTTAATATATAAATAGGAATAATTAATTTTTATTTTTGTTTGATATAATAGTGCAACATTATTTCAATAGAATTCCTTAAAATATTTTGATAACGAAGTGACTAAAATACAAAAAAATTGCTTAGAATGTTTGTTTTTGTAAGGAAAAAGTGAATTATTATTTTTCTTAATTTGTTGGAACACTTACACACTGATTTGCTTTATGGAGATAAGGCATATTTGGTCAAAAATTATTTTTCAACTGTTTTTTTTTTTTTTTTTTGGGGGGGNTTTTTTTTTGGGGGGGGGGGTAAATTTTAACAGATTTAATATTAAAAGAAAATCAAAAATCGTATTTTTTACTATGCATTGTTAGAAGCAGTTTTTGCACATATTTCCTGAATTCTGAAACTTGTTAATTTATGTTCTAAAAGACACTTAGAAAAGCAAAGTTTGAAGAATTACAACTCTAGGTCAACTGAAGGTTACTTTATACTGAACCATGAGTTTGTATTATTGATTTTTTTTAAAATTATATTTTCAACACTTTATGTTTTAAAAACTGTGAGAAAGTTTATTTTTTTCTTCTTTTTGTTACTTTTTCTGTTTTAACTACAGTGAAGTGTGTTAACAAAGTGTTTATAATAGACTTTATTGTCCCTTTTTTTTGTATGGTAAGACAGATAACTAGTAATATAGAAAACTGTGATTCTCAAAGTTAAAGTTATATTACAGAACTAAGAAAAAATTTTTTCTGTTTCTCTTTTGATTTTTTTATTAACTTTTCTTTTTATCAGCGTTTTTAATAAAGGCAGCATTTTTTAAAGAGCGTTTCTAATGAACGTTTTTCTTTTATGGTCACTTTTTTGTAAAAATACAGCAATTTGAAAAAGTTTAATCAAAATTTTTAACAATGAATCTTTCGTTTAAGAATTAAGAACGATTTTTGTTATGGTTTCTATCTATCTTTTTCAAAAGACATTTTAAATGATTTGCTTTAAAAAGAGTTTCAAAAATTTAAGATCGATTTTTATTTTTTCTATTTTGCTTTTTTATCTTTGTTATTTTATAGGCGTTTTTACGATAGCGTTGCATTTTTAAAAGTGTTTCTGATATTATCTCTTTTAATGTTTTATTGATAATTTTTTTTTCGAGCAATATTAATTTTAGCATCAAAGCTTTGTTTTGAGAATGAAGAGAATATTTTTTTTTAACTTTGCAACTTTAGTTTTTTTTAATAAGCTGTTCGTTAGTTTTTTTTTTATCCTAAATACTTCTAATTATCTTAATATCTAATTATTTTTATTATCTTACCAGTAATACGGCTAAGTTTTGATTATTTTTCAATAATGACTAAACTATTTTCGATATATTAAAAAAAATATTTATGAATGATTTTCTTTCTTGAAAAATGTTGCTTTTTGACTGAATATTCAGCTATTGGGCCAAATCAGTATTCGTTACATCATCATGTGAAATTTATATATAAATAGGAAATGTAAAACTTTTTTTTTCTTTATGTAATAATGAAACATTATTTGACTAAAGATATAAAAAATTGTTTAGACTACAGAGATGCCAACTTGCTCCGGACAGCAAATATATATTTCAAAGTGGTAGCTTATCAATTGTGATTCTTGGTTTAATAAATTCAATTTAGTAGCTTTTCATCCACCACTATTTCTGAACAATTCGTAGACTTATATAATTCACCATTTTATAGCACTTACGTCATACTATACCTTTTAAAAAGCAGGAAAAATAGTCAAATATTTGCAAAATTTCCTTTGTAGTTATTTACCGCTTTTTTAATTATTCTGGCGTGTCCGGAGCAGTTGGCTTCTCTGAGACTACTTAATTTTATAGGGAACCATTTAATTTTTATCTTTCTTAATCTGTCAGAAAACTTGCATAATGACCTGTATCATTTAAAATTCATTTATGTAGGTTTCTAATTCTTAGGTTTAAAATATAGATGTAAGATTTTTTTTCTTGATTTGGTTATAAGTTTTAATCAAATGAATACCTTTATATTGTTGTACTAAAGCATCAAAAATGTTTCATTGGTGGCTTACATAAAATATTTAAAAAATTATTTTAAAAAAATCTTAGTTTCTATAAAAATGTAAATAGTGGCAAACCTAGTAATTTTAAATTGATATATTTTATTAAAATTTGATTAAAAGTTATTAAAATTGCAAAAAAAAGGGTTTATAATTAAAGTTACATGTATGGGTGTACATGCATATTGTAATTGGATCATAATTTGAAGGCAAAAAGAAAATCAGATCAATAAAAAAGGGAGAGAGCTAAATAAGAAACATTGATTTTCTGGAATTTTTCCCTCTTATTTATTTATTATTATTTTTATAAAATAGAAAGAATCAGTTTAAACCGGTTTTTTTAATAATTATTAATACACTATAAAAATGTGAAAACTGTATTTGCATACCTCTATTGATAAATTATCCTGGTCATGATTTTAACAAGATAGAAAAATTGCCATGTTGCACCAAATAATAATAAATATTTTACAAATGGTTTTCCATTATGCACATTTATTTCATCTAATTTGCTTGTGCATAAAACTTAAGGAAATAACTTGACTAATTTATTTATATATTAAATGCATGCATAGAGAGCGAGTTTTAAAAATGTAAAAGAAAAAAATTATTAAATCTGACATAATTTTGCTTTAAATTGTGTTTCATATAAAATGTAATCTTTCAATTAATTATTTAGTAATGAACAGGATTACTTTTTAAATTAAAATAAGAAGAAAGTTTTTATTTTAAAAGATTAAATTGGAATAGTACTAAAAATTTACAATACCCAAAATTACTCCTTGCTAAATCTCTTACCAAGCTTTATATATTTGCAGTATCTATCTATTTTAATCAGAATTAGTAACCCAAAAATATATATTTTTGTTTTTATTCAATTTCTATTTCAGACAAATATTATTTTTTTGGAAAATAACTTTGTACTTTTTTTTAGTTAATATTTTTTAGGGAAAAAATTTAAATTTAAATTTAATTTCACATAACAATAAAAGCTTTATTAATATCTATGACATGTGCCTTAATAAGGTAAAAGCTTTTATTTATGTTTCAAATTGCTATTATTTATCTTATTAATTTATAAACGTTGCATTTTTTTTACAAATTTAGCTTAGATATCAATAAAATTTCTAATTTAGCCATAGTTTTAAAATCTATTATGTTCTTGTACCATTTTATTTTTGATAACTTTTGAAAATAAAAAAAAGCAATTTTTATACTATCGAATATATTGGCGATTGTCAGCTTCAAATGAGTGGATACTAATATATCTGGGAAATAAAGGTAGCCAGTGCTTAATGCTGACATTAATGCCACACTCATGCCAGTTGTCATGAAATTGTGTATTAATCTTCATTACACCATTTTTAGACAACTGACAGCTGCAGAAGTGCATTTATCCTATACAATTATATCAAACTATTCCAAATTTTGCACTCTTGTCTTTTATTGAACTTGTCATAAATAGCAAGTCTAACTGTTTTTGACCTTTTTCCAGAGAGAATCTCCTGAGGAAAGGGCATCTTTTTGGTCTAAAATAACCTTCTTTTGGTTTAATCCGTAAGTATGCAATAAATTCTAGGGATTATGCTTGTAATTTTATCTGTTTCTAAAGCTTGAAAAAAAATCTTATTTTCTACTATTGAAAGCATATTTCTAATTTATTTTTTTAATATTTCAGCATGGCTGCTTTAGGCTACAGGAAACCTTTGACTGCAGATGATATGTGGGATCTTCCAGAAGAAAATACTTCTAAGTACTTACAAGCAGAATTTGACAAATATTGGCTACCTTTGGTTAATAAAGTCTTAAAGTAAGTTTTCATTTTATTTTAAATTTACGCAGTAATATAACAATTACATATTCTGTTAGCTTTTTTTAAAATTTAAACTTGAATGATTTGAAATAATTTAAACTTATAATTCCTTGGTCATAAGTTGCTTTTTATATTTGTTTCCTTTCGAATCATTTTTAGAGAATGTAAAAAAGTTTCCTGATTTCTACATTTAGATTTTTTTTTAATAGTTTAAAGAAAGTCAAAGAATAAAAATGGGAAAATAAGAAAAGTATATATTTCCACCAGTAATTTTTCATTGATATCTCAGTCAAAAGTTTTTTTTTATAAATACATAAATATTATCAAAATATCTCAGATTAATCCTGTTTAGAGAATGCAAGAAAATTTTTTAACTTCTAAATTTCAATTGTTCAGAATGTTATTAAAATAATTTAAGCTTTAAAAAGGGGGAGATAAAAAACTGTAACTCAAAAGTTCTTGAATTTTTCGTTTGTTTAATTCCAGATCAAATATAAAGAAAGCAAATTTTTTTTCATTTCTTAATACTGTTTTTTCTTGGAAGTTATTTTATAGAATTTAAGTTATGAGGGGGAGGGAGGTAAACGACAGCAATAAATGTTTTGCTTTTCGTATTTAATCACAATAAAGGCTGAATCTATGTAATATTTCTAAAATGTTATTTTAGAGTGGTTTTTAATTAATTTTACATGCTGTTAAAATTTCTCATTCATGGTATTGAATTAAAAAAAACTTGTTACCATTTTCCAAGAAAAAAAAAATACCGGGCTAGCTCTGAAATTATTTATTAATCTATTTACTAGCACAGCACAGAAAACAGTTACAAATTATTAAAAAAAGCACAAATTAACAAAACGAAATTCGCATAACAACACTAAACGGAGAGATCATTTTGGAGATGTTCTCCAATCGGTTGCCGCAGTTCAACTCAAAAGTCTCGCCACAAGATGGCGTGGTGGCAATTCAATTTTAAAGTAGTTTAGCTCTGTTACAAACTTTTTTTTCATCTATCAAAACAGTGTTTGCCCTATAAATTGCTTCTTTATTTTTCAAATGAAACACACTAACTTTTAAAATTTTTATCTTTGATTTTCAGTCATCAAAAAAAAGTAAAGACACAACTCTCTAGAAGATATTCAGAAATGCCCACTGATGACAATGAGTGCAAAGTGACTATTTCACCTGATGAATTGGATAAAGAATTACCAAAACTCAGTATTTTAAAACCTATTCTTAAAGTATTTGGATGGCAGCTGTTTTTTACAGGATCATTGAAATTCATTTCTAGTCTTATCACATTTGTGAATCCTTTAATTTTGGAGTAAGTATTCATTTCTATTTCATAATGTTTTGCTCCTTATTATTATTATTTCTATTTATGTGAAAATAAAGTTTGTAATTTGTCTCTAATAATGTTACTATTTCTTTAATCTAAAAAGATAGTATTTTATTTATTAAAAAAATGTAATAAAGTATATTAGTATAGCGATAGTATCCTAAGTTCTTTTTATGAGAACTTGATATTTCATGATGGTACTTTTGAAATGCAAATTATATTTTTAACAGTTATGTAATTTATGGAATTTTAAAATTTAATATACACTTTACTCTTTTGATTTATTTAAAATTCATAGTGTTTTCTTTACATTATGTCTGGACAACGTTACAGGATTATCCTATGTTCTTTCTATTTAAGCTAGTTTTGTAATTACACATTTTACTTGAATATGTAGATTGTTTTAACGTATATAATTTTCACGTTGTTTAAAGTCTAGCAAGTATATTAATTATTTTTTTCACTTTGTATGAGTTTTGGTGCCTTCTGTTTTTCAGAGAAAATAAGCTAAAGAAGATGTACTAGTTTTAAAATGAGATAGAAAGAAATTACCTGTAAAAACAAGAAATTTAGACATACTAAATATACTTTCTCAAACGGACTTAGCTTACTATTGAAATAAGGTCTTCATATCCAGTTTAATTTTCTTTAGAATATTAATTTTTAAATTTATTATTTTTTATTTATTATGTTTAGTTTCTTAGAAGTTAAACAAATAAAAAAAATTCTGATAGTGTTTTTTCTTTATTTCCCTATTAAATTTTAGAAATTTATTTGTCTAGGTCAAAATAGACAAGATCAAATACATACCAAAAACAGATTAAAAATGTCTTAATGTCAACTGCCATGTTTTAAGTTGTGTTGACCTTTAATATTTTCTTGATTTCTTAGCTTGTGTGACTTCACTGCTTTCTTTTTTTATTTATTTCCCAATTTTTTAAATTTGAAAATACACGTAGTTAAAAAAATGTGTTGAAATATTTATATAACTAATATAAACTATGACAAATTCAATATATATATTTTTTATAAATATATCTTACATTTTTCTTACATTTTTAAACAGATTAGTTCAAAAAATGAATGTTTCTTTGTAAATGATTTTTATGCTTGTCACTCAAAACACACTTTAGTTCATTTTCTGAATGACTTTAAACTTGTTGCTGTTATTTCTATTTTTGAAATTATTGTATTCTATGCATGCACCTCTAAGACTTTTTCTAAGAGACAGTCAAAATTAACTTTATTTTATATTGTGATTGTAATTGAAATTATTTTCAAAACAAAACAACAAAAAAATGTAAAATAATGCATTAAAAATAAATTATGTAAAATGATATGTATCAGTTGTATTCTCAATATTTTAGATTTCTATTTTAAGATAATTCAAAATTCTTTTTTTTTTATATTGTGTATATATTATCAAATGAGCTATAATTCTATTCAATAAATTATTGCACTGACGTTCAATAATGTCCTCTTTTTATAATATCCCTTAAAATTATGTTCTTTTTTTTTTTTTTTTACAATGTTCTTTCTTTAACATACTAATTTTAGTTACACCTCTGTTAATTTATAGTAAAGTTATTGCCTTTGTTGGAAGCAATGATCCTTATTGGATGGGAGTGGTGTATGCTCTTGGAATGTTTTTCTCCTCAATGCTGGAATCTTTTTTGAACGGTCAATATGAATACAGAATTTATATCATAGCCATGAGAATAAGATCCTGTGTTATTTCAGTTGTATATAAAAAGGTAACTTTATATTGTTAAATCATTGTGCAAATTTTTTCTGATATAGATATTTTAGAACATTTTTGTGGCTTATATAATTCCAGTTTATATTAAGCTAAGGTTCTTTTTCTTCACATTATAAGAAAAATCATTATGTTCTAACTGTAATCACGACTCAAAAATAACAGTGGTCTGGGAACACTAAAATTTGACTCAGACCACCTTAAAAATTTTTAAAGCTACCAGAAATCTACGTAAAGAGATGGTAGTCATTTTCGACTTTTTGTTTTCTGTTTTTAGCTGTATTGTTATAAAATAGCATATTTCATCAGAATTGTTAACATTCCACATTCATAGCACTCTAGTCCATGGACCAGTTTCTAAATTTTCTTATTTTCAATTCCTTTACAATAATAAAAAGCCCTTTTGGAAATGCACAAAAAATAGTAACTATGAAGTCTAAGTGTTCCACAGCTAGTGTTCTTTTGCTCCCCCCCCCAAATGTACTTAAAAATTGATCTTCTTCAGTGTTTTTCATGATTTAGCATCAGGGACAATATATTACTGCTGTTTATAATATCTATTAAAGTGTCTTTATTTATGTCATGATATCAATTTTCTCAAATTAATTTAAGGATCACAATCTTTTTTAATTTATAAATTGCAGAAAATTATTATGAATGGTAAAATCATGCATAAGTTTAAACCCAAATTACAATAATAAAACTTCCTAGAATATCAAACGTCACCTTGTAGACATAACAGAAGCGGAAGAATGCAAAGTTTCTTACGGTTTTTAGAATTTTGTTATTGTTTACATTCAGCGCCCCATCCATATGATGTATTTCTATAATATTAATTAAAATGAATACTTAAGAATCATTTTATTTCAGGCTTTGACTCTTTCAAACTCGGCCAGGAAGAATTTCACTGTGGGTGAAGTAGTAAATTTGATGTCTGTTGATACCCAAAGAGTGATGGATTATGTTCAGATGGTTAACTATCTGTGGTCTGCTCCCCTTCAAATTGGAGTCGCTATATATCTCTTATGGCAACAATTAGGAATTGCTACTTTAGGTGGCTTAAGTGTAATGATACTCATGATACCTCTCAATGGCGTTATTAGTGTTTTCATTCGAAACTTTCAAGTAAGTATATTTAGTTATTATCAAGCCGTATAGTTATAGCGTAAATTTTGTATATTGTACTAAAATAGGAAAATTGCTTAGGTATGTTAATGTTTAAACAAAGAAAATCATCCATCTTTATTAAGCAGCATTTTTAAAATTAACAAACAAGGTCACATTTATAACTAAGAAAAATATTATATTAACAAGATATTATACTATCTGTTTAGCTGAGATAAAGATGGTTTCTTTTTTCGACATCCATTTTTATAAAAATATTATAACACTTTCTAATGGTTGGATTGAGGGGCATTCAGACACCACCTCCATTCCTAATGCCAAGGAATTCAAATGACTTAACGAAGCATGGGAATAGATTCAAAATTTGTCGAGTTCTCAATGGATAATAAAAATATCCCCGCCTTATTAATATTAAATGTTAAACAGTCTGACTACAACTTTATCTCCAAAAAGACCGTTCAAATTTAATATAACCCTGTAAACAAAATATTTTTGTGGTTAGAGATATAAAGCAGCTTAAAAATAAAAATAAGTTATGATATTCGCTTTGTCGCAACACTTAATTAATGAGAAATACACTTGTATCAAATTGAAAAGTTAGTCATTGCATTGACTGTTAAGAGAAGAATAAAAGTATTTATATTCACTAAACTTTGTTTGGATTGATTCTGTGGAAAAAGATCTTAAAACCATGGGAATCAATAAATGGAGAAACATAGTGTCTGATCGAGCCAGATGGAGACAATTAGTTGGGATGGATCTGTCCTGTACTAGGTTGTCATGCTGATGAAAGAAGAATAAATTTTGTTATTTATTAAGCCTTTTAAGTATAATTTATTCCAAAACTAGAAATTATCTCACTATTTAATATGTGATTTAAATAATGTGATTACCATTTTCTATCATTGGCATTATGCTGTATGCATCAGAAATGACTTTTATAGCTTTTTCTGACTTTTCTAATTACCTCAAAATTTTCGTTTTTAATAAGTTCTTAATTCTGCCTTCAGTAAATACTCAATGTAATAAGTATGGCATATTTCAAGAAGCCTGCTATTATAACAAATTTTTAAGTCTCAATCAAAATGTTGATGTTAAAGATACAAAAATTGCATCTTTATTATGAGATAAATATTACCAGCCTCCTGTAACTGTGGCAATTTTTTTTTAGAGAAAACACATTTTTTCACTGTTCATGTGAGCAATGTTATAAGATTAAGAGCCCTGATGGAAGACATTTTTATTTAGTTCTAGTATCAATAAAGTGAGCCATATATTCTTCTTACAATCTTAAAACTTTATGTTTATAAAGCAAACATTTTTGGTGACGATTGTCTCGTAAAATGTTTTTCTCCTTACGAGAAATAAATTCTTTTGCTAATTTTAAGTATCCATTTGCTTATTTATCCAGTTGCATACTTTATTATACTTTTTTTTTTGTATCTTGTCAAAACTTCCTGTTGGCAAAAGCATTTGTGTTTAAAATCAAAATTGTTGTTAAAAATAAAAGGTTAAAAGATGCATTTTTTTGGCTGTTTCAATATTAAATATGTGTATTTTTCTCTTTACCACAAGCTCGCTATTACTATGATTCCATCTACTGCTGTGAATTGTCGTTATAGCAGACTTTTACTCTATGTATGTGTGTATATATATATTAATGTAGATAAACTATTTACTTTTTTAGGTAAGATTGATGAAGGAAAAGGATATAAGAACTAAATTAATGAATGAGATTATGAATGGTATTAAAGTTCTGAAATTGTATGCATGGGAAAATTCTTTCATTAAAGAAGTGATGAAGATAAGAAACAGAGAAGTAGATAGCTTGAGGGCGCAAGCTTATTTGAACGCTGCCATCACTTTTGCATTTACAGCTGCTCCATTTCTAGTAAGTATCTTATTGTTTAAGCAGTTAAATATTGTTATCACAAATACCAGTGGTCGGAGGAAGCGCTCTACAACTAGTGAAACTACTGTAGTCACAATTTTTTTGTAGTGTAGTATGCCCCTGTAGCTGAGTGTTAACAAGAATTTGCATATTTAAAAACATGTGTAACTAATATTTAAACTAGACATTACGAATGATGGTCACACTTTCACATGTGAATGTACTCTCATAAAACTTTTATGTTATTTGAAAGGAAGGGATTATATTTTCACTGTACTTAATTTCTTAGAGAAAATAAATAAGCAAAATAGTTAAGAACTTAGAGAAAATAGTTAAGCAAATTTGCAAGTATTTGATAATTTCCTACTGTTTTTTAAAGTAAATATTTGATGTTGAAAATGCATGAAAAGTTCAAGGTTAAATTAACAAATTCCTGAAAAATACTTTAGAATAACAAACTGGCTCAAGTAAACATGAATAATTATTTCTTAATAATTCCTCATATAAGCCATTTTTTTTTTTTTTTTTAAATTCATAACCATTTTGAACTCAAATTATGTTCTCCAACAAAGTTTGTTTTCTTAAAGTATTGCAGTAGTCACTATATTTCGAAGGCAGCGTGTATTCACTACATTTTAACAAAAAAAGTAGCCACCATTGTTGTTAACTATATTTGTAACTAGTTGTAATAAAATGCAAAATTAATGTAATTTTTCCAACCACTGGCAAATTTCAGACTTTCTATGTTTTTGATAAAAAATATTTAGTTTTTGAAGATTTTTTTCCTTTTTGTTTAGGTATCTCTGGCTAGCTTTACTACGTATGTTTTGATTGATTCCAATAATGTATTAGATGCTAATAAGGCTTTTGTTTCTCTGTCATTATTCAACATTCTTCGGCTTCCAACAGCTTTTCTCCCCATGATTATCACATATACTGCTATGGTAAGAGTATCTTAGTATTCCATATATGACAGCTTATTTAAATTATATTAAATTGCTTTTTACCTTTTAATAGTTTGTAGTATCCCTGAAAAGAATAAACAAGTACTTACAAGGTGATGAATTGGATAAGAGTATTATTGAACACAATCAATCTGAAAGTAAGTTCTATGACCAATTTACCATTAAATTATCTGACAAGTTAAAACTATGTTTTTTTCTATGAATGCTATTTTCAGATAAAATATTTTAATGGTTATAATCTGGGATAAAAATTTACTCGGTGCCTAAAAACCTGTCAACCAATATTTTAGTAATATTACTTTGTGTTTTAGATTTAAAAATTCAAATTTTTTTTTTTAAGTAAGTAGATAAAAGAGGCTTTTTTTTCATTGTTACTCTCAATAAAAATATTCCTTTTGTGCAATTTGTATGAGCAGAAATTTTTTTTTCACAAAATAATACAAATATTGATAAAATTTACAAAATACGAAAGATTTTTTTAAAAATTAAACTACTTTGTCACTTAAAACCATAAATGCCTAATTAAAAGATTCATTATACCCTTAATGGTCACATAATTTTGACTGAAAGGGTCATAAAAGTGCCTTTTTTTTTCCTTTGAAAAAATTGTATAAAATCAAGTGCATGTACAATATGTGCATTCATCTTTAATTCTTGAGTTAAATTTTAGATTACATGTTTGATGAATGCTGACAGCTAATTTGAATTAAACAAACTATTTTTAAATGCAAAACTTAATGTTATTAAATTGGATAGCATCATTGTTTACACTGGATTCTGTATTTGATCCTTGTTTCAATAGAAAATAGCAGTGTTGCATGAGCTAGCGACTTAAAGTAAGTTCCTGGAATCTTGGATTGCCTTCATTCTTGAGTTGTGGTATGAGATTGAAAGAAAAAAGTGCAACTAATTTCTCATTAAAAGTTGTAATATAATTTTCTGATTTGTTAAAGTTAGAAAAGCTTTAAAACAAACCTACTTTAGATTACTTTATTTATGTAACATTAAATTTTGAATAATTGTATGTATGTAATTTTATAAAAGTGAAATACAATTATGATACTTTCCATTTAATGATACGCTGACTCATTCTAATGAAACAAAACCAAAAAAATTATCATTCTTAGTCAAAATTGTATCATTGTTATATGTAAACTCAACATGTTACATTTTTCAATTTGTAATATTTATTTGAATTTTTTAATATGAATAGATTTTATTACTTTTGAGTAAATTATAAATGTCTTAGAAATTTTATTGAATTTTACAGGGGATGCTGTTGTTATTGAGAATGGCACATTTTCTTGGACAAAGTCTGATCCTCCCACCCTCACTAATTTGAACTTAAGTGTGAAAGAAGGATCATTGGTTGCTGTTGTTGGACAGGTTGGTGCAGGAAAATCTTCACTTCTGTCTGCTTTACTTGGTGACATGGTTAAGTGGTGTGGAAGAATAAATGTAAAAGTATGTTGTTTTTATTTACACTATTATATATTTTATATGATTTTATAACCCTCATTGAGCAACCGACCCAATTTCATGGCCTTACGACTTCTAATGTTCAACTCAGTAGCCTTGTAATTTTGAACCCAATCCAGAAGACAGGGGAACTCCTGGATCGAGTATTGGGAGAAGATAACCTTCGTGGAGGACTTTTTGATGGAGCTAACCCACATTTGAGTTACATGGATAGGAAGACCACAAGAACTTCCCACGGTTAGCCTGACGACAAGGGGACTCTAACTAATGATCCGTCGACCACTGAGGATATTTTGACGTCAGCACTGTGATCAGTGCAAGCCGAACGTGAAATTCGTATCGACTAGGATTTGAACCCGGTTCGCCTCATTGGGAGGTGAACGCTCTATCCCCTGAACCATCACGGCTCACACTATTATATATAAGAAAATGTTTTCTCTTTTTACTCTTAATTCTTGATCCACAGACAGCCATTTATCTCTTAAACACAATCAGATCTATTTAAATTCTCCAGGTCTCACAGTGATCATAAGACACAGTTTTCAGTTGTTCTCTGAAATCAAGCATCACAGACAGCAGTTAGTGAGCAGGTAGATGACCACTTTTATCAACTTGCAAAGAGACTGAAGTGTGGGTTATCGATCCTCATTAAACTGTTCTACTATAAAGTGCCCTACTTTATGAGCAGTTTGTTGGGCTACTAAATGGGGGTGCATTGATTCTGCAGAGATTGTGATGGCATATCTTCAAATCAAAATTGTGATGGCATATCTTCAGATCTGCACAGTTTCCAATAGCCCTGTGTGCAGCTCTAGTGTGATATACTACTGTTATTGACAATAAAATTTGTGTCATTTCCTGGTACCTGCTGTTTGGGTTATGTATGTCTTAATTTTATGTGTGTAAACTTAATTTAAGTTGAATAAAACTGTATCCTGTAGACAAAACCTTTTTTCTAAATGCTTATATTTTTATAAATTTTTTTTGAAAAAATAACTTTTGAGCAGCTAAAAAATAGAGATAATGTGTGATTCCATTACCTGAAGGCTCTCTAGTTAGCTTTCATTTTTGTGTCAAACTCAGTTAAAAACACATTTAGAAATTTTTGCATTGGAAATGTAATGTTTAGGAAGTTTTTTAAGCTTTTTCTGTTACTCTCTAAAATCAATCAGTCCACTTGTAACTGGAGTGTAGGTACATTTATATTATGTCAAATCATATATTTAGTATCTATGCAATATTGTAAAATATATTGTAAGCAATATACACGATATTTGTTATTTAACAGGGAAGTGTTGCATATGTGCCACAGCAAGCCTGGATTCAAAATGCCACCCTTAGAAAGAATGTTCTTTTTACTAAGCGATATGATGAGCCATGGTATAAACGTGTATTGGAGGCTTGTGCTCTTTCTCAAGATTTAGAAATTTTGCCAGGAGGGGATCAAACTGAGATTGGAGAAAAAGTTAGTATAGATTTTAATATATTTAAGGTTTTATTTATTTTTTGAATACTTTTTCTTTTTAATTTTATGATGAAAATCAATTATTTTTTTTGTTGATTTTTGAAATTATATAGGTAACACAGAAAATTACATTCAATAAAACAGTATTTTTATTAATTTCAATTAGCGTTATTTCTTTCTGATTTTACTTTATTTATTCTTAACTTCTTGAAATTGTTGATATTGATAATTGGAGATAGTGGATTTTTTTTTTTTTATAAAAAGGAAGCAGCCTTGCTTTCATTAGTGAAATTATCTTCCTTTAACAATTATTGAATTAAGTTGTTACATTCATTTTAATAAACTTGTTAAAATTGTCTCAAAAGTTTTACCAAGCATGTAGAAATGTCTATGAATTATTGATAAATCAATTTTGAACTGCATAAAAACCTTTTTTTTTTTAAATGAATTTACAGTTTAAATAAACTTAAATAAATGCAGTCCAACATTTTCGTGATTTTGCTTCTTCATCTTCACTTTGCACTTCTTCAGCTTCACAACCATTTCTTGAATAGTCAACTTCACAAGTTTTAGAATTTTCATCAACAAATGCATAATCATCTAATGTGTTGTTTGGAATGTTTGCTCTGAATTTTAACAAATCCTCTTTTCTGCATCATTGACCTGGGGTGATTGTATTCCAGATTTCTTGTATCATCCTTCTGGGTTTGAAAACTAGGATCAGGGTGTGCGATTTTTGTATAAATTTAGAATAATTCTGCATGTTTTAGGTCCAGAATTTCCAAACAATAGACAAGGGAATATGTTGGTTTCAGAAATGATCTAAACAAGTATTATTAGCATAACTGACGGAACCATTAAAACAAGATGATGCATATAGGAAAGCGAAAGATAGGAAAAAGATAAATGGCTGTTTTAACATTGAGAAGAAGTTGAAAATTAAAAAGCTACTTACTTTCCAGGGTATCAATCTCAGTGGTGGACAGAAACAAAGAGTAAGCTTAGCGAGAGCTGTCTATAATGATGCTGACATATATTACTTGGATGATCCACTCAGTGCTGTTGATGCTCATGTTGGGAAACATATATTTGAGCAGGTTATTGGACCAAAAGGAGTTCTTAAGAAAAAGGT